AGTACTAGTAGCAGTAGTAGAAGTCATAATCTTAATAATCTTAGTCGCAGAAGTAATCATAGTAGTAGCTGAACGGTGGTTTAGTAACCCCCCGTGTTCTGAAAGTGCCATGCTTTACTTGTTGTGATAATTGTTTGCTGCGTTACTGCGCGTCTTCTGCTTGCGGTGCGTGGTCTGGTGCGTCGTTTCACTGCCATGCATGCGTAACCTTCCCAAGTAAGCTGAATCAAGAGAGGGAAGGATTGATGAGGACAAGCACGGGTAGGGGCAGTCTGATATTATAGCCAAAAAACGAAGCACCACAACATCCAAACATGTCAAACGAACATGTTTGAAGGTTCTCAAACCAAACAAATGACATATTTTCAACATTTAGCCGGTCTGGGACTCGCGGGGCTAGAAATCCAAACGCTGACAACAAACAACAAACAAGTAGAACAAATCCTTGTGAGTGTTTAAAAAATGCGAAAAACGCTTGCATCATTTAGTCTGTGAGAGCTGGCGGGACACCCTCAAGGCGACAAAGTTCTGCAAACACTGTTATGTTTTTTTGGGGGGTGGGGACCCTCACAGGAATTAACTGGATTGTTTGGGTTTGTCCAGGTTTTTCTTGATTCCCAGCCCCAGGAGGAGGAGAAGGAGAAGCAGGGGGTCCAGAGTGAACCCAGGATGCATCAACGATTCTGCAATGTACTCTCTTGTCACGTCGCATACCCCTTCCTTATCCAATGTACGCAAGCGTCTCCTATCACAACCGGGCGCGCATCCTTGAAAGGCAGGCGCCACATGGGCATGGCACTCCTCAGAGATCTCCAGAGGCGGAGGATGAGGAGGAGGAGGACGGGGGAGAGAAACAACGGGTCGATGGAGCGATGTTGGGCGCATGCGTGTCACTGCTGGGCACATATATTCGGCGGTGGACAAACCTCCCTTTAGTAAACCTCCCCTTAGTGAAAACGGCCTGGGACCGAAACCGACGGACATGGACCCGCGAAAATGACGGCCGCGACGCCCTCTCGCGAACCGAGAACGGAAATTCACTAATCGACGTGTCAGGGTAGGAGGTCTGTCAACCTCCGAGGAAAGGGGAGAGAAACAACGGGTCGATGGAGCGGTGCTGGGCGCAGTCGTGGCACTGCCGGGCAGGCATATATCTCGCCATCGCTCGGACGTCCATTCCTCGTGTATTTTTCGATTTCGTGCGTTTTTTTTTTCGCCAACTGATCAAGGATGGTCCTCGATGGCCGTCGCCGAGAAAAAGATTCCACACGTCCGAGCGATGCCAAGACATGGTCCAGGGTCTGGGTCCCCCACCCCTCCCCCATGGGTATGCCATCGCCCCCCCCCCGATGGCCTCCCACGGTGGTCCCCCCCCCACCCAATGTGGGTGCCTCCCTCTCCTCCTCCTCCTCCTCCTCCTCCTCCTCCTCCTCCTCCTCCTCCTCCTCCTCCTCCTCCTCCTCCTCCACCTCCCCCTCCCCCTCCCCCTCCCCCTCCCCCTCTCCTCCCTCTCTTCTCCCTCCTCCCTCCTCCCTCCTCCCTCCTCCCTCCTCCCTCCTCCCTCCTCCCTCTTGGTGCTGTGGTCACTCTTCGTGGGTGCAGCGTGGTGCTCCGGCGCGCTGGGGAGGCCCCAAACTTATCGCCGTCCTCTTGTTGGTGTCGGCGGAGGAGGACGACGACGACGGAAAGAACGAGGAAGATGAAGAGGGGGAGGGTAGCGAGGAGAAGGACGACGACGACATGAACATTGGCATCGGCATCGTGGTCGGCTCTTTGCCGTCGTCGTCGTCGTCTTCCTCCTCCTCCCCCCCCATCCCATCTGGGAGGGGGAGGGGGGGGGGCTTGTTGAACCCTGAGAGCCATCCCATCTGGGGGGGGGGGCTTGGCAGCCCGGCACCCGGGATCACATGTGTTCGTTGCGTCTTGTTGAGGCCCAGAATGCATCGGATGGCACCCCCACCCCTTCCCCCCCTGGTGCATAAAGAAATGCCACGCCTGCTAGGCTGTGCGACACTGGCACGCATAGCGCCCCGACCCCTTGCGGACCACCTATGGCGTCGAGACAGTGCCAGGCCTACCAGGCTGTCCGACACTGGCGCGCATAGTGCGCCCCACCCCCTGCGGACCCCCTCTGGCGTTGAGCAAATGTAGCCTCTGCTAGGCATCACGACAGTGGCGCGCATTGCGACCCCAACCCTGCGGACCTTATCTGTCGTCGAGGCAGTGCCACGCTTGCTCGGTTTTGCGACACTGGCGTGCTCAGCGCCCACGCCCCTTGCGGACTCCCTCATGGCGTCGAGAAAGTGCCACGCCGGCTAGGCTTTGCGGAAATGGCACGAATGGCGCCCCCACCCCTGGCGGACCCCCTCCACTGCAGAGAAAGTGCCATGCCTGCTGAAGGCTAGCCATGGCCCGCATAGCTTCCCCACTCACTGCACACCACTCGTGGTGTCGAGAGGGAGCCACGCCCGCTAGCCTGCGGGCCATGCTTCTGATTGTCTAACGCGTGTGAGCGAGAGGAGGGCTAATGTGTGCACGTATGTCTGATGTCAGTACGAGCGAGACTGAGAGGGCAGAGCAAGAAGAGGGGTGAGGGGGACCGCGGGTGCGACGCTGGTGGACAGAAAACCAGAAGCCCACAAAACATGTGGGAAAACAAACTTTCGACTGTCCGCGCGGATTTCTTGGATCTGCGCTCGATCCCCCTGGCGGCGCCTCCGGCGCCGCCCCTGGCGTGCCCCCGCGGGGGGTCCAGCGCCGATCCGAGAACTCCGCGCGGACCTCCGAGTTGTTACGCTTATTCCTATCTCAGATCCCTGAATCTCGCCATCGCTCGGACGTCCATTCCTTGTGTTCTTTCCCAACCATCCTGTGGTGTTGGGTCCTCGTTTTGAAGAGACGGTCCCCGCGTCCTCCTCTCCTCTCCTCTCCTCTCCTCTCCTCTCCTCTCCTCTCCTCTCCTCTCCTCTCCTCTCCTCTCCTCCTCCTCCCTCCTCCTCCTCCCCCTCCTTGCGTTTCGCCCACCCAGTACAGCGTTTCGTGGCCCCATAGGGAGCTCCACCGAAGGCCCCAGTGCTGCCGCCCGCATGCGTCACGCACACCCAATTCGGCACACCCCTCACACGTTTCGTGGCCCCCATCTATAGGGAGCTCCGCCGAAGGCCCCAGTGCTGCCGCCCGCATGCGTCACGCACACCCAATTCGGCACACCCCTCACACGTTTCGTGGCCCCATAGGGAGCTCCACCGAAGGCCCCAGTGCTGCCGCCCGCATGCGTCCCGCACACCCAATTCGGCACACCCCTCACACGTTTCGTGGCCCCATAGGGAGCTCCACCGAAGGCCCCAGTGCTGCCGCCCGCATGCGTCCCGCACACCCAATTCGGCACACCCCTCACACGTTTCGTGGCCCCATAGGGAGCTCCACCGAAGGCCCCAGTGCTGCCGCCCGCATGCGTCACGCACACCCAATTCGGCACACCCCTCACACGTTTCGTGGCCCCATAGGGAGCTCCACCGAAGGCCCCAGTGCTGCCGCCCGCATGCGTCCCGCACACCCAATTCGGCACACCCCTCACACGTTTCGTGGCCCCATAGGAGCTCCGCCGAAGGCCCAAGTGCTGCGCCCGCATGCGCACACACCAAGTCGGCACACCCCTCCACGTTTCGTGGCCCCATAGGGAGCTCTGCCGAAGGCCCCAGTGCTGCCGCCCGCATGCGTCACCCACACCCCATTCGGCACACCCCTCACACGTTTCGTGGCCCCATAGGGAGCTCCGCCGAAGGCCCCAGTGCTGCCGCCCGCATGCGTCACGCACACCCAATTCGGCACACCCCTCACACGTTTCGTGGCCCCATAGGGAGCTCCACCGAAAGCCCCAGTGCTGCTGCCCGCATGCGTCACGCACACCCAATTCGGCACACCCCTCACACGTTTCGTGGCCCCATAGGAAACTCCACCGAAGGCCCCAGTGCTCCCGCTCGCATGCGTCACGCACACCCATTTCGGCACACCCCTCACACGTTTCGTGGCCTCATAGGGAGCTCCACCGAAGGCCCCAGTGGCATCGCTCACATGCGCATGCGTCCTGCACACCCATTTCGGCACATCCCTCACAGGTTTCATGGCCCCATCATCCACCGGAGGCCCCAGTGGCGGCGCTCACATGCGTCACCCACACCCACCCAATTCGGCACACCCCTCACACGTTTCGTGGCCCCATAGGGAGCCCCACCGAAGGCCCCAGCGACCGCGCTCACATGCGTCCCCGCCACCCATCCCGGCACGCCCCTCACACCAACAGGTTTCGTGGCCCCATAGGGAGCTCCACCGAAGGCCCCAATGGCACCGCCCGCATGCGTCACCACCCGCGCCCAATTCGGCACACCCCTCACACGCTTCGTGGCCCCATAGGGAGCTGCACCGAAGGCCCCAGTGGCGGCGCTCACATGCGTCCCCGCCACACATCCCAGTACACCCCTCACGCGCTTCGTGGCCCCATAGGGAGCTCCACCGAAGGCCCCAGCAGCGGCGCTTACATGCGTCTCCGCTACCCATCATCCCGGCACCCCCCCCGCAGCAACATTATGTTTCGGGGACCCATAGGGAGCTCCACTGGAGGCCCCAGTGGCGGCCCTCACATGCGTTTCCGCCACCCATGTCGGCACGCCCCGCGCGTGTTTCATGTCCCCATAGGGAGCTTCACCGACTGCCCCAGTGGCACCCATCTCGGCACACCCCTCACACGTTCCGTGGTCCTATGGATCTTCCACTGAAGAAGAAACCCGCAGCTGCGGTACTGACAACTGCATATGGTTGGGTTCTTCGCCAGGCTAATGTATAGTTTTGGGCGTGTTTTTTTCGCCAAATGATTAAGGATGCTCCTCGATGGTCCTCGCCTGAGGAGAAATGCAGACGTCCGAGCGATGGCAAGGAATGGAGCAGGGGGGGGAGCAGGCACGGAGGAAGGGTAAGGTCACCCGTTGCCCCTTCCCTGGGTCCTTGACAAGCAGGCTCTTGACAAAGTCGGTCGCTTCCTGTGCACCCAGGGGCCGAGAAGGCGACGTTAGTTAGGGGGGACCAGCTCAGGAGGGGCAACATCGAGCTTGAATCGGCGATACACCGCCGATGGATCGGCGATGGGCCCCCGACAGCGAATGCACACGCTCATGGGAGGGGCGTGCTATCGGGCCCCCATCGGCGATGCATGGGCGATGGGGTAATTATCGATGCTCCTGAGCCCAACACCCCCAGACGTGGCCTCCTCCTCCTCCTCCTTCTCCTCCTCCTCCTCCTCAACGTTCATTGTCCAGAGCAATAAACAAACTGCATGAAAATAGAGATCGTGGAGGTCTTCGAGGATTTCTCGGATCGGCGCTGACACCCTCCCTGGGGCGCGGAGCTCGCCAGGGGCGGCGCCGGAAGCTCCTCCAGGGGGGCCCAGCGCCGATCCGAGAAATCCGCGCGGAGCGCTGACAGTTCATGTTTATGGAACTCTCTCTTCCTCGACGCAAGCTTCCTCATCACGCTCCAACCTACTCCGCCTCTCCTCCGTGCATTCCTCCTCCTCCTCCTCCTCCTCCTCCTCCTCCTCCCTCCTCCTCCCTCCTCCTCCTCCTCCTCCTCCTCCCTCCTCCTCCTCCTCCTCCTCCTCCTCCTCCTCCTCCTCCTCTCCTCCTCCTCCTCCTCCTCCTCCTCCTCCTCTCCTCCTCCTCCCCCTCCCCCTCCTCCTCCTCCTCCTCCCCTCTCCCCCTCCTCCTCCTCCTCCTCCGCCTCCTCCTCCTCCTCCTCCTCCTCCTCCTCCTCCTCCTCCTCCTCCTCCTCCTCCTCCTCCTCCTCCCTCCTCCTCCTCCTCATCCTCCTCCTCCTTCCTCCTCCTCCTCCTCCTCCTCCCCCTCCCTCCTCCTCCTCCTCCTCTCCTCCTCCTCCTCCTCCTCCTTCCTCCCTCTCCTCCTCCTCCTCCTCTCCTCCTCCTCCTCCTCCTCCTCCTCCTCCTCCTCCTCCTCCTCCTCCTCCTCCTCTCCTCCTCCTCCGCCTCCTCCTCCTCCTCTCCTCCTCCTCCTCCTCCTCCTCCTCCTCCTCCTCCTCCTCCTCCTCCTCCTCCTCCTCTCTCCTCCTCCTCCTCCTCTCCTCCTCCTCCGCGTCCCCCTCTCCTCCCCCCTCCTCCTCCTCCTCTCCTCCTCCTCCTCCTCCTCCTCCTCCTCTTCCTCCTCCCCCTCCTCCCTCCTCCTCCTCCTCCTCCTCCTCCTCCTACCTCCTCCTCCTCCTCCTCCTCCTCCTCCTCCTCCTCCTCCGCCGCGCTCTTCGGCGTCCCACCCCTGGCCGTCCACGCACGCACCGCGGCCAAGGGCGGGCTGCTCGGGCGGGCTCCGCCGCGCGGGCGCCCCTCCTTCTCCTGCTGTGGCCCCTGCTCCCCCGATCGGCCGCGCGCGGTGCCGCGGGATCCCTGGACGTCGCGCAATGGAAGTGCGATATACATGCTGTATACATATATAAATATATGTATACATGCGTGTTGCATATATTTATGTATATCGATATATATATATATATGTAGGTATGTATACATATAAACATATATATGTATCGTTAAATAGTTGTATCGAGATAAATATAGCTATATATGTACAACCATACATGTTTACGCATGTATATACATATCGACAGTTAAAGCATGTATACGTATATCGATATATAGACACATCTATATACATGTATGTTTATATACGTATGTGCATATATATATATGTATAGACATATGCGCACACACACATATATATATATGCATATATAAATCGGTCGAAATGTATTATATGTATATCGGTAGATCTGTATTTATATAGATATATATATATACATCGATATATAAATCTATGTATGTATATCGATACATAGATCTAGATATATGTTTATGGATAGATAAGTGTAGATATCAAGATTGTAGGGCCAGCGAGGGCTGCAGAACGGGGGGGCCCTGAAGGGCCCCCCGAGGGGGCGGACCTCTCGGGCCCGAGAAAAGAGCACCCCTGTCCCCCCCCCCCGCTTGATCACTCCCCCGTGAGTGAAGGGGAACTGGGACACACAATAAATATACACAAATAACCAGATTCCCAACACTTCCCCATATTTCCTTGGCTTTTCTGTCCCCCCCCCCCCCTTCCCACAGTTTCCCCTATTTTCCTCGGGAATCGACGATTCATTGTGTCTGTCTGTTTTTCCCTCCCCCGCGAGGCGACGCCCAAAGTCCAACACCTGCGTCGCTCTCCATCGGGGATCCGCTGACCCGGGTCAATGACCCGGGTCAGTGCGCCCACGGCCCTGCAGGATCCTGCAAGATCGGGCGCTCTGGCTGACCTCCGTTTGCATTGACCCCCGTCTCAAGGCTCCCGACTCTAGGGGGAAAACAAACCTACCTCGCTTTTGACCACCCTCGCTTCCAATAGATACCAAACGATGCCAAATTGCAGCCTGTAATGGTCAGGCCGCTTGACGAGGAGGCGCGTGGTATGGCTTGGTTTTGCCTGGAAGCGAAAGCGGGGTAGGTAGTTCACGCTCTGAGACTCCAGGCGCTGGCCCCACGCTGCCTCTGCGCGCCGCCTCCGCCCCTGGCCCTCCTTCGCGCCGGGGGGCGTGGCCGCCCGTGGCCCCTCGCCGCCTCTCCTCCTCCTCCGCCTCCTCCTCCTCCTCCTCCTCCTCCCTCCTCCTCCTCCTCCTCCTCCTCCTCCTCCTCCTCCTCCCTCCTCCTCCTCCTCCTCCCTCCTCCTCCTCCCCTCCTCCTCCCTCCCCCTCCTCCCTCCTCCTCCTCCTCCTCCTCCTCCTCCTCCTCCTCCTCCTCCTCCTCCTCCTCCTCCTCCTCCTCCCTCTCTCCTCCTCCTCCTCTTCCTCCTCCTCCTCCTCCTCCTCCTCCTCCTCCTCCTCTCCCTCCTCCTCCTCTCCTCCTCCTCCTCCTCCTCCTCCTCCTCCTCCTCCTCCCTCCCCCTCCTCCCTCCTCCTCTCCTCCTCCCCTCCTCCTCCTCCTCCTCCTCCTCCTCCTCCTCCTCCTCCTCCTCCTCCTCCTCCTCCTCCTCCTCCTCCTCCTCCTCCTCCTCCTCCTCCTCCTCCTCCTCCTCCTCCTCCTCCTCCTCCTCCTCCTCCTCCTCCTCCTCTCCTCCTCCTCCCTCCTCCTCCTCCTCCTCCTCCTCCTCCTCCTCTCCCTCCCCCTCCGCCCCCTCCTCCTCCTCCGCCTCCTCCTCCTCCCCCCCCCCCTCCCCCTCCTCCTCCTCCTCCTCCTCCTCCTCCGCCTCCGCCTCCTCCTCTTCCGTGGACTCTCTCCTCCCTCCTCTTGCTGGGAGCGGTCCTCTCGGGCTGCTGCGAGGTTTGCTCTCGCAGGCTGGCCCGTGGAGCGCCACCGCGCACTGCAACCCCGCAAAAGCTCATCGTCTCGAAGGCAAATCCCGCATGCTCGCGGAACTGGTACCGTCGGACCTGATTGGAGAGGACACGCGAGAGGCTGAGAGGACACAAGACCCTTCCGAGGGCCACGTTGCTCTTCCTCCCCCTGACGCTGCTGCTCCTCCAGGCGTCTCGTCGTCTTGCGTGGGGAAGGACAGGGCGACGTTCGAAGGGGAAGGCGTGCGTGGGGAAGGCGTGCGTGGGCTATAGGACGAAGATCTGGCAGGGTCGCCCTGCTACTCTGGGCCGCCTGTACACCCCTTCTATTCGGCGGTGGACAAACCTCCCTTTAGTAGACCTCCCCTTAGTGAAAACGGCCTGGGACCGAAACCGCGCGCGCGTCGTCGCGGGCTTATGCCAAAATCCTTCAACAATTCTCGGTTTCGGAAAGATTTCAAAATCGTGCGTCCAAAAAACTTCAAAAACACAAGGTTTCGCAACACTGGTTTTCAACAAAAGCGTGCGCGCGCGCTCTTGCGTTGTCGTCCTCGTCGTCCTCCCTCCTCCTTCGTCGTCGTCGTCGTCGTCGCCGTCGTCGTCTTCTGTTTTTCCTCGTCGTCGTCGTCGTCGTCTTGGCGTCGTCGTCGCTTCCGTCGTCGTTGTCGCCGTGGTCGTCCTTCCTCCCTCGTCGTCTTCGTGCCGTCTCGTCGCTGTCCCTCCTATTTCGTCGCCGTCGTCGTCGTCGTCATCGTCGTGGTCTTCACTCCTCCCTCGTCGTTATCCTCCTCCCTGGTCGTCGTCGTCGTCGTCCGTCGTCGGCGTCTCGTCGTCGTCCCTCCTATGTCGTCGCCGTCGTCGTCGTCTTCGTCGTCGTTGTCGTCGTCGTCTTCCCTCCTCTCTCGTCGGTGTCGTCGTCGGCGTCGCCGTCCTTCCTCCTTCTTCGTCGTTGGCGTCGTCGCCGACTTCCCTCCTCCATCGTCGTTGTCGTCGTTGTCTCCGTCGTCGTTGCTTCTCCTCCCTCGTCGTCGTCTCCGTTGGCGACGTCGTCGTCGTCTTCGTCGTCGTCGTCGTCGTCGGTGTCGTCGTCGTCGTTGTCGTCGAAAACATTGGAGACGTCGTCGGTGTCGTCGCAGTCGGTGTCGGCGGCGCCGTCGTCGTCGACGTCGCTGTCGTCGTCGGCGTCGGTGTCGTGGCCAAGTGCCATGTGGTACCTACCGTCACGGTCTTGTCTGAAGAGGTCTTGCGACCAAGTTGCGGGTGGGAGGGTGGGATGTTTGCACGAGCAGTGGAGCGGACCGCTTCAAGACGGTCAAGATTAAGTGCACCCCATACGTTCCACCACATAGCTTTTACCACATAGATTGCACCACATGCATGGCACCCCATTGCTTGCACCACATACTAAGCTGAAACGCACTGTTTGGGGTCCACCCTGGCTGACATGTAGTCCAACCTCTCGACTGCAATGCGGGATGTGCTGCGATTGCAATGGTACACGTTCTTGCACCTCCCCCTCCTTCCCCCTCCCTCTCTCGCGCTCCCCACGGCGGGGCGTCCTGGGACAGGGAATTCCACTTCCCAACGGCACGCTGCATCAGGTCCACGCTCCCCGCCTTGATCATTCGCCTGCGGTGCAAACGCTTGACATCTCTCTGCGAATGGCGGCCGAACTGCAGCCCCCGCAACCGCAGATCGATCGAGTCGGTCGCGCAACCGAAACGACCAGATCGAAACCCGTCCGTGGTGCGATGTGTGCTCGAGCCGATCGGTGCCGCTCGCAAGAAACAGCGTGCACCATCGAATTGTGAACGGCCATGCAATGAGGCGCGAACGCCATGCTGCGAGGGCTCGGGCATGATCGAATGGACAACTCGCCATCGCTCGGGCGTCCATTCCCTGTGTTGTTCGACTTCGTGCGTGTTTTTTTCGCCAAATGATCAAGGATGCTCCTCGATGGTCCTCGCCGAAGGAACAATGCACACGTCCGAGCGATGCCAAGACAATGGTATCAGGAGCGAAGGCTGCTCGGTTTGTCGTGTGCACGCTATCATCGAACTGCGGATCTGTGGATATCTGGCGCGTGCGCGCCCGCTCCACGGATCGGGAACGGCATCCCCCGCAACGTTGGGCTAATGCCAACTGGTTCGAGGACGGAGCGCGCCGACCTCGTGTGGAAACATGACCCGCCGCTAATCCGCGCGCCTGGGGGATGAAAAAACGACCCTACCCTAGGTTACAAGTGCGCGGTCTGTAAACCTCCTGGGAACCCCCAACGCCTAGAGCCGCCAGGACGCGGCACATCACGCAGCGTTTACCGTGTCAGCCCACAGGAGTTTCAGCGCACAGCGCCTCGTAAACCAGGGCAGGGGCGTTTTTTCCTTCCCTTGATGAATATATGTTTGCGCTTCTTTGAAATTGGGCCACCTTTGCCAACAATACCCTTGATGCCACTCTCCGTCGGGAGCAAGGCGCCCCGAAGCGACGGTGTTCGACGAGTCTTTTGGCCTGAGGCAGCTTGGGTCAACGCGCCCTTGTGCGTTATGACTGTTGTGGCTCCTTCGTAAAACGAACAGATCGCTGGAGCACTGAACAGCCTTGACAACTGTCCTGTAACTGTCCTGTAACACAGGCAATCGAGCAATAAACCAGTGTCCAACCCATGCACCCATCTCCCTGGGTCCAGCACCCCTTTATAGACGAGGCGGCTTCGCTTGACCCCTATCTTTCACGATCGGTAAGACACCAGCCCCTCCAACCTCATTCATGAACACACCATCGAATGGACAACGCCGCCATGCCTCTTGCACTCCAGAGACCCGACAATCGCCTTGCGAGAGAATTTCACCTGGGGGATGACAAAACACATAACACCCTGCACTTGCGGATAAGAGGGAAGGGGCGGGCGCGGGTTGGGTCGCGGGTGGGTCGCGGGTGGGTCGCGGGGTGGGTCGCAGGTGGGTCGCGGGGTGGGTCGCGGGTAGGTCGCGGGTTGGTCGCGGGCGGGTCGAAGGGTGGGTCGCAGGTGGGACGACGACAGCAACAACAACAACAACAACCAACAACACCAACAACAGCAACAAGCATGATCCGCGCCGTTGAACTCCACTTCAGCCACGCACCAGGGACAATGAATGGGCTCCCTACCAAGAACTACTCCCGAACCCCTCCATCTCCCACCACTCCTGTTTCCGCCCCTCCGTCCCACATTCACTAGACCCCAGAATCCGCCTCCGGGCGGCGCGCGCGAGTTTGGTACAGGGCAACTGAGACGGCCTTCTGAGGCGGGGGGCATATTGCGGGCGTTTGTCAGTGCGGGCGCTAGTTTGCGGGCTCTTGCGCTCTCCATGTGCATCCTCTGTTGTGTCATGCGAGTGGTATGAGTGGTTCGAAAAATGTGGTGTGATGTATGCTGCACGTCTTGAAATCATCAAGCTCAATGCTCGTGTAAACGTCCGACCCTGCCAACCGCAACTTGTTGGCGACACTTACTACTGCCATGCTGTCGACACGCGCGCGGGCGCGAACAGATGACCCGCGAAAACCGAATCCACTCTTTAGGGAACGAAATAGATGATACAATGGGGACGACGGCGACGACAACGACGATGGCGATGGCGATGCCGGTGATGGGGAACAGGGCGATGACGGTGCTGATGTAGATGATGGTGGGGACGGTGGCTAGGTGACGTTGACGGTGGAGTCGATGACAACGATGATGTTAACGATGACGCTGACGATGACGATGTTCATCATGACGCTGCTGACTGCGGTGAAAATGATGACGGCGGCGATGGTGGCGATGGCAACGACAACAATTATACCTCTAACAATGATGATAACGCCATTTGAACACATCCGTGTCGAAATGCTGGCAACACTGGTTTTCGAAGGAGTTCAACGTGCGCGCGCGGAGACGCGCGAGTGCGGCCCGCATTAGATTAGTTGGCAGGGGGCCGTCGGGTGCGCGATCATGATTGAACATGTTCGACATGCGAGCGAGCGCGCGCGTTACCCGCATGGTATCATACAAGTTACGAACGACCAGGTACTTGTGGCTTTCTAGTTTTTGAAATGAGTGCGCGCAGAATCCTGGCAACTTCTCATGGGAAGACGCAGCAGCAGAGGGTGCTTGATGAGGTGTCTTGAAAACGGTTGGCGAAACACTTCTTGAATACAACTGCCGCATTTTATGATGTGAGAGGGCTGTTGCAAAGCGCACTTCTTACAACAACTTCTGTGCGCCGCATGGTTTTTCAAAAGACCAAGGAAGAGGTGTCGATCCCAGGGCGGCTGGGATGATACTTTCTGGTTATAGATTGGGCGATCGTTCACAAGTATGAGCAACTAGAACACCGCGCGCGCTTCAAGCGTTCTGAGGTTCTATCAAGCTCCAGCCTCTGACAGTCTCACAGCTGCGTGCAGATGCATACGCAGAGATGCAACGTCAGGAGTTACCCACGCATGGTTCGAACATGTGGTGGATATATATGTATATATATATACAGCCATTCATAACGTGGACCGAACGAATACGATTCAACACAAGGCGCTCTACGAAGATCGCTCTACGAAGATCCTAAGAGCGCCCAAGAGGGAGTCCAGGAGAACTCCAAAGGGTAGTCCAAGGTGATCCCAAGAGCGCTCCGAGAGGGGCTCCAAGGGGGCTCGAGAGAAGCTCCAAACATCCAGAGGGAAACGCAGGGAGGACACAGGAGGGCCCAAGATGGCCCCAACGACGCCTCAAGAGAGCCTCGGGAGGTGCCCCTGGAGAACCCGAAGAGGCCTCGACAGGGCCCCAAGCGAAGGCCCGACTGGGCTCCAAGGAGTGCATTGAGAAGACTCTCGGGGAAGGCCGAAGAGGGCTCGAGAAGAGCTTCGAGAGTGGCGCCAAAGTGGCCCCAGGTGCTCCAAGACGGCCCGAAGAGGCCCCAAATCAGGGCGTCAGGACGCAACTCCGAAAGCCTCCACGGCCCCAGGAGGGCTCCAACGGGGTGCGAAGCGGCGGGCCAAGATGGCTTCCAGAGGCGTTCCAGACCGTCCCAAGATGGTCCAAGCAGGTTCAAAAGAGTTAGCACGAAAATGCCCTTCAGACAGCCCGAGAGCGGCCTCCTCGTCCTCCTCCTTCTGCCTCATCCCTCTCCTCCGACTCCTTGCCTGTGGGGCTTCCTGGGGCTTCTTGGAGCCTTGTGGTACCTTCTTGAGGGCGTCTCTGGGCCTCGGGTCCCGGTAGCCCCGTGGAGGCGTGAGCAACCAATCGGAAGCGAAACGGCTACAAGGCTCATCGATTTCCCGTGTTTGAAGGTTTCGAAATTGTCTGAGGCGTTCGGGGGGGTCTCCTGGAGGTCTCCGGGGCTGTCCTGAGCGTCCCTGGGGGCCTCTTCGGACCTCTTGGGGTCAGTTGTGGCCTCTTGGAGACTATTGAGGACGTCCTGGAAACCTATTCGAGGTTCTTGGAAGCCTCAGGGGACGCTTGTGAGGCCTCCTGGGAGCCTCTTGGCGGCTTCCTGGATGTCTCTTGGGTCGTCCTGGGGGACCTCTTAGAGGCTTCTTGGGGCTTCCTGGGGCCTCTTGGGACCTTTCCGAGGGCGTCTCTGGGCCTCCTGGTGGCCTCTTGGGGGCGATTTGGAGGCGTGAACAGCCCAGCGGAAGCGGAAAGGCGGGCGGGAAAGCCAAAATCATAGATTTGCGCAGGGTTTCTAGCCGGGTTTTGAGCTTCTCGGGTGCGTTCTGGAGGGTCTCCTGGAAGTCTCTGGGGCTGTCCTGAGCGTCCCTGGAGGCGTCTTCGGCCGTCTTCAGGCTCGTGTTGGGGGTCCCATCACCGTGTGGTGACAGACCCGGCGGTGACCTCGAAATCCCCAAAGACCTCACCGCACGGTCCGTCACCACACGGTTTTGGGACCCTGGAGGCTCAAATCGCCCGAGACATGCTCGGAGAACGACCCAGGTCCAAAAACTGTGCGGTGACCCCGAATCCCCACCGACTCACCACAAGGTGTGGTCACCACCCCGTTTGGGAGCCCCCGATCGTGGTGACCGTGAGAGACCCCGGGAGGCCGTCTCTGGGGCGGCTCCGAGCCGTCGCGGGCCGCCTGGATGGCCCTCTGATGGCGCTCCCGGACGATTCGGCCGCGGGCAGACCTCCCTTCGGGGGTGGACAGAACCCCCGACAGTGACACGTCGAATAGTGAATTGTCCGTTTGCGCTTCTCGGGAGGGCGCCGTGGCTGTTATTTTCCAGGCATGCGCCCGCCGGGTTTGGGCCTCAGGTTGTTTTCACTAAACCACGTTTTGCTAAAGGGGGGTCTGTCCATCCCCGATCCCTTTAGCAACTCTCCCCTTAGTGAAAACGGCCTGGGACCGAAACCGACGGACCTGGACCCGCAAAAATGACGGCCGCGGCGCCCTCTCGCGAACCGAAAACACGGCGAATTCCTCAGTCGACGCGTCGGGGTAGGAGTTCCATCCGCCTCCGAGCGATCCGGGGCGGCCCAGAGGGCGGTCCCGTGGGCCACGCCCGGGTCCCCGGGCCACACATCTGCGGTCGGGGTCGCGGCCTCGGGGGCCCCCGGGCCCAGTGCGTCGGCATATGCACACGCGAGTGCGTGGAGGAAGGATGGCAGCTGTGGCTCGGTGGGGCGGGGAGGAGGGCCAGGGTGAAGTTCTTCCTTCCAGGAAGGAGGGAATCTGTCAGTAAGCGGACGTGCGGGTGGCGTACGTATACAGACGAACGAAATAGATCGCGAAGCCCATGCATCGAACCAAGTAAGAGTGACCCTAGCTGTGTGGAACGCAGCACACGCGCGTACAGATGCACTTACCTGCCGTGCATGCGAGCGTACAGAAAACCTGTCATGAGTGATATGTGTGGTGCAGCTCATTATGACAATCTTGAGAAACATTCAGGTGCAACGCCGAGCAAACGAAGCGCCCGCCCACACGCATCTTTTTGTTGGTACCACTCAGAAGGCACAGTGGTGCAAAGAGACTTTAGCATGCAACTGCATGACTCGGGCGGGCGAGTAATGGTGGTGACGACACCGTCGGCGACGACGACGACCATAAAGGTTTCGAGTATGAAGAGGGCGACGACCACGACTATGGAGATGATGTCGATGGAAGTTTGTGATAGCGATGCATATGATTTAGTGGTGGCGGCGATGGCAATGATGACGCAGGCGACGATGAGGATGAACATGGTGCCCATGAGGATGCTGTGATGATACACACGTGCAGATATTCTGACCGACTCTTGACGGAGAAACGTTAGCCACGTGGACCTCAAGCAAGGACTTCTTGACATCCTGATGGTGCAATCAGTGTGGTACACGTGCAATCCAGATGGTCCAATCCATGTGGCGCAAGGGATTGCCAAGACATGCAAAGCAGTGCAAGGCAATGCACTGCGGTGCAAAACAATGCGATGCAGAACAGTGCAAAAAGCAGAACAATGCATCACAAAGCAGAGGAACGCGGCGACGGGCGGTGACGAGCCGGCGGGACCGCCTCTGGGGCCCAGCGGCGACCCGTGGCGAGGGGCCCCCCGGCCCAGCGGCGGCCCAGGACGAGCCGGCCGGACCGACACCGGGGCCCACCGGCCACGGCGGCGACGGGGCGGCGACGACCCTCCTGCTCCTCCTCCTCCTCCTCCTCCTCCTCCTCCTCCTCCTCCTCCTCGCCAATTTTTTTGCACGCCGCCAAGCCCTCCTCTCCTGGACGCGAGCGAGCGGGGGGAGCGAGGAGGAGAGAGTAGGCCTTCTCAGGAGGCGGCGGGGCTCCTCACAGTCCACCGCGCCTTCTTGGAAGTTTTTTTTCAAGAATTTAGCGCCAACCACACTCGACGACAGGCGCGGTGTCGTCTGGACCTTCTGAAGTTTTTGTTCGTGCGTCTTCGGGGTGGGCTCAGGAATCTTCTCAGAAGGCAATTGGGGCTTCCGAAACTTCTGAGAAGACCTCCTTCTCACTTCCGCCCCTCACTCGCCGCCAATCCTCTCCGGACGCCCAGAATGGATACGGAAAAGTTGGAACGAAGATCAACAATCAAGTTTGTCCAAAACGAACAGCGGCCGCTGTTGAGCAAGCGGACTTCTGTCTCAAAAGGAGGACGACCGCGGCGATGCCGACAGCGATCCCTGTTCAAAATGGGCAGGGACTACTGTGGGGCTTCGTGCCCAGTTTTTCCTTACCCATCTCGAGCGCACCGATCCTCAATCCCGAATGCGACGATCGCCTGAGATCCCGGTCGTTCCCGCGGAACGGGGGGTGCCCCATCAGGAGCAGGTACGTGATGACGCCCACGCTCCACCTCAGGAGGAGAAGGAGGAGGAGGGAGGAGGGAGGAGGGAGGAGGAGGAGGGAGGAGGGAGGAGGAGGAGGGAGGAGGGAGGAGGAGGAGGAGGAGGAGGGAGGAGGAGGAGGAGGAGGAGGAGGAGGACCCCGCCCCACGCGGCGGGGCGGCCAGAGCGGGGGAACGGCGGCGAGCCCACGGGGGGACTGCACGGGGCGCGGGCCTTCTCGGCCGGCTCGGCAGGCCTGTGGCCTGATGCCAACTGTTCCAAACCTGTTCCTGGCCATCGCTCGGACGTCCATTTCCTGTGTTTTGTTTTTGGTTTCGTGCGTGGCGTTTTCGCCAAATGATCAAGGATGCTCCTCGATGGTCCCCGCCGAAAGAAAAACGCACACGTCCGAGCGATGCCAAGGCTCCGAAGACGGATACGGCTTCTCACAAGGTCGGAGGGCTTCTGAGAACCCCCCCCCCGCCCTCTGAGACGGCCCGCGCCCTCTCACTGCCCTCCTGGGCTCGCCGCCGAAGAGGGGAGGAGGGAAGCGGAGATAAGCATATCCCCTGGGCCAGCTGCTCCCTCCGCGGTCTCACGATGTCACGGCGAGGATCGACGCGCTGCGAGAAAGGGACGGACCACTCTCAGTGTACATCCCGAGCCACAGGCATGGCGCGTGACGCTTTTGTTAAGTCGGGCGTGTTCCCCTACAGGGGGATTTTCGACAACAAAAATAACACATACTCCAAACATGCCCTTAAAAGGTCAAAACAATACTCAAAAAATAGTCCCCAGACTATTTTTGGACCATGCTTTGACTATGTTTGGGGTATTCTTAATTTTCAGTCGAAAATCCCTATGTAGGGGGACAGGCCCGACTTAACTAATGCTATCGCGTTCGACGTGCGTGGGCCCTGGGACCACGGCACCTTCAGCGAGAGGAGGCTGCTCCAGTACGCCGCGGGACAGGCCCCACCCAGGGGCCGGGCGCTTCCCCATGGCTCCTCGCCGAGGCCGACCTCCTTTTCTGGGCCTCGAGTCTGGACGAAGAGCCGCCAGGGGCGCAGGCGGAATGCAACAAGGGCAGGGCACTCGACCCGCCCTCCCTGAGGGGGCATCAACGAAAGTGGAGCTCGCTGCTGAGGGCCAGCAGCTCGTTGTGCACATGGCCCCCATGCCTCTTGAGCAGGGACCGACCGTCCCGGCATTCCTATAGTCCTACCACGACATGTTCTTACAACCCAACAGTGTTCTAAGAACAAGAACAATGTTCTTAGAACATGAACCCGATGTGATAAAACAAGACAGACTCCGCCAGAAATGTTCTAAGAACATGTCGTGGGAACCACAAAAGGTTCTCAGAACATTGTTTGGTAGGGCTATAGGCGAACCAGGGCGCTTCGCCACTGCTTGAGCCTCTTGGCAGCATCTCACGCTGCGGAAGGGCACGCACCGAACGGATCGAGCAGCAACGCCCTGGCGACCGCCAGACATCGAAGCTGCAGCGTGTTCGGCTTGCGGCCACAGCCGCCCCGTGATCGCCGTCGGGCACCCCGGGGCCGCGCGGCACAGCCGCCCAGGACGCACACGCAAATGCAAATGCACACGCACACGCACACGCACACGCACACGCACACGCACACGCACACGCACACGCACACGAACAAGCACAGGCACACGCACACGCACCCGCACCCGCACCCGCACAGGCACAGGCACAGGCACAGGCACAGGCACAGGCACAGGCACAGGCACAGGCACAGGCACACGCACCCGCACAGGCACAGGCACAGGCACAGGCACAGGCACAGGCACAGGCACAGGCACAGGCACAGGCACAGGCACAGGCACAGGCACAGGCACAGGCACAGGCACAGGCACAGGCACAGGCACAGGCACAGGCACAGTCACAGGCACAGGCACAGGCACAGGCACAGGCACAGGCACAGGCACACACACACACACACGCACACACGCACACACGCACACACGCACACACGCACACACGCACACACGCACACACGCACACACCGCAGCGGAGGCCCCCACGACCGGACCAGTCTTCGACGGGCCCTGCCCCGCCAGCCACTTCTGCGCTGGCGACGGCGGCTGGGCCGCCTCGAGCCGACGAGCAGGCCGGGGGGCGGCTGCGGCAGAGGAGCCGGGAGGAGCATCGTTCGAACGCTTCCCATCCCCACAGGCGCGGCCTGGACCCCACTGGCCGATTTACCACCCTGGATGGGGATGTAGACTGGTCCCTTCGACAAAAAACAACTGAAGGATGACAGAAACACCACAAGTCTCGGGTCGGGCGAAAGGGGGGGATAGCAAAGGGAGGGTTTGAGAATTAGCTCACGTAGCTGATTTTCCCGGCGCCTCCCGGCGCCGGGGGCGACTATGTATCGAGGAATGGGCCCCTCGGTGGGGCCGAAACCAGCTGTATGCAGCAAAATTTCGTACCCCCCCCTTTCCCAATCCCCCCCTTTCGTCCGGCCCGAAAGTCGGAGGTCCGCGCAGCGTCCCTGGATCGGCGCTGGATCCCCTCCCTGGCGCGTGGAGCACGCCGGGGGCGGCGCCGGGGGCGCCGCACGTAGTATAGAGAGAGCCCCACACCGTGTGCCACGGTAGCACGCAAGAGCCGCAGTATACCTGCACAGAACACAGCATGCCTTCGGGCACCTGCATGTCGGGGTGGTCCACTGCCCTCACCCCCAGATGCGACAAGTGTTACCATTACCCCGGGGGGGTGGCCCAGGTAACGAGCAATACCCGCCAGAGGGGAGGGTAAACAAAACAATCTCGAGGCTGCCCAACATCGACAACCTTTGGTATCGAACCAGATCGACCGGGTAAAAAAAAATCAAACCTGCGTGGTGGCTGTTTCGCGGCGCTGAGTCCAGGCCCACGCGGAGAACTGTTTCGCGGCGGAGTCCAGTCTGCACTAGCGGAAGGGGAGCCCCGTGGCAGCGATCAGACAGACGACGAGACGGAAGGACGACAGACGAGGACGACAGACGGCGCAAGCTCTGAGAGTGGGGAGGAGGGAGCAGGGGTGGGAAGGCGCCGCGCTGGCCCAATGCTGGTCTTCCTGAGGTTCCTGGGGTTGTCCGTGTGAACCGTCGGGGCGAGTGGTGTTGGGCCATTTTGCAGTGAATCCGATGGCTGGCAGGAGCGGCAACCGTGATCGCATGCAGACGGTGCGATCTGACTCGGACAGAGCCCCCCGCATGTCGCACTTGTGGGTGTAGCCCTCGTGGGAGAGGACCTCCGGGCTGACCTGCGGGCGCTGGCATTAAGTCGGGCCTCAGGGGGACTTTCGACGAGAAATTCGCCGGCCCAACGGGCCAGAGGCGTGCTAAGATCTCTGGTAACTCTAATTCGCGCGCGCGGGCGGCCCCTTGGGGGGCCCCGGACGAAAAGTACCCCGGCTGATCCCCGGCCGGGTCCCGGGCGATCCCCAGGGGGGAGGCTATTTCTCGCCACCCCTCACGAGGATCGTGGCCTCCGAGGGGGGGGCTGCAATCGACTACCCCCCCTCCCGCCCCAAGAGGCCCCCAAGAGCCCCCCAAGAGGCCCCAGGGGAGCCCAATACGCCGCCAAGGAGCCCCAAGACGCTTCTAAGAAGCCCCCAAGAAGCCCCCAAGACGGCCCCAAGAGGCCCCAAATAGCGCTTCAGGGCCAGCGGAATGAGCGAAGCGACTAAATAAAGAATACCCCCAAAATCGACAAAACATATTCAAAACATAGTCTGGGGACTGTTTTTGTTTGAACATATTTTGACCTGCTTGGGGCATTTTTGGGTTATTTTTGTTCGACGATCCTGGGGCCCAGGGGGGACCTGAAAACGCCGAATCATATAAACAACAAGGCCCGGCCTGATTGATTCGAGCCGCCAAAGGGCAGTGTTCTCAAGCTCGGCCCCAAGGGACGTACATCAGCGAGCCACAGCACCGGTGCATCAGCTTGTTCGGCTCCAGCAGCTTCGCGAAGCCGAAGTCGATCAGCCGCAGCGCGGCCTCGCTATCCTCCTCCGCCTCATCCCTCCTGCATCGGCTCATCCTTCTCCCTCCTCCTTTCGTCCTCCCCCTCCCACCCGGCTTGGGTGTTGCTAGAAGGTGCCCCTGGCCCCACGTGCCCCAAGCATCTCAAAGGAGCCCCATCGGGGCCTCCAGGAGCACCCCTCGCGAGGCCCAGAGGGCCCCAGGGCGCCACAAGGGAGCGAGAAGCGGGGGGCACCTTGGGCCAGGGGCACCTATCAGCAACCCCCGACCCACCCAGCCCCCTCCCTCCTCCCCTTCACGTTGGCTTCACTTCAGCTGCAGGGCTGCCTCGTTCTTCGGGCATGCAGAAATCTCGGCTGACTCAGCGAAGCGGGCAAACCAAATTTGGCCGTGGACTGGTGCAGATAAAGAAGTGCAGCGAAAAAAAAAAAGAATAGTGGCCGCAATGGGCACCTTCCTCCTCCTCCTCCTCCCCCTCTTCCTCCTCCTCCTCCGCCAAAGGAAATCCAGAATCGAATCGCTAAGTCGGATCGACGACCTAAATGAATCGGATCGGCGACAATCGGCAGACAATTCGGGAAAAGTTGAATCCGCGGAATCCGAATCCGAATCGGCGTCCGAAGTCGCATCACATCCCAATCCTAATCCATCGGAATCGAATCGAAATCAAGTCGAACGAGTCGAAATGAGCCCTGCATCCTCCTCCCAGCGAGAAAGTAAGAATGGTGGCCATAGTGGGCACCTCCCGACTCCCCCTCCTCCTCCCGCTCCTCCCTCTGCCGCCTCCTCCTCCCGCCTCCTCCTCCTCCTCCTCCTCCCGCCTCCTCCTCCTCCTCCTCCTCCTCCCTTCCTCCTCCTCCTCCTGCTCCTGCTCCTCCTCCTACTCCTCCTCCTCCTCCTCCTCCTCATCCTCGCTCCTCCCTGCTCTTTCACCCCTGCCTCCCTTGCCTTCCCCCTCCACACACACACACACACACACACACACAAACACACACACACACACACACACACACACACACACAAACACACACAAACACACACACAAACACATACAGACACACGACACACACACACACATACAGACACACGACACACACACACACACACACACACACACACACACACACACACACACACACACACACACACACACACACACACTTCAAGACATGTTCGGTGGCGAGCGAGGGAGGGAAGTGAGAAGGAATCGGCCCTCCTGAGCGGTTTCCCGCGCCTTGAGGGAGACTTGGAAAACTGCTCAGAAGGCTGGGGGACTTCCGAGCCTTCTGAGAAGGCCCGCCCCTGCTCACTGTCCCCGGGGCTCGCCGCCGACATCTGCCGGGCATTGGCAGAACTGGGTTTAGGGATGCCTGGTTTGGTGATATGTACCGGGGGCGCCCCCCCGTCCCATTCCCACTAACCGGAACTGCCGTCACCCGAAAAGCACCAGTTACGGCAAACCTGGTGTAGTGAAGCTGGCCAATTGAGGGGCCCCATGTGCAGGGCCCTACCACTAAGGGAGTCCCCTTAGCCGGGGTCCTGGCTATGGGCGACGGGAAAAAAAAACGGGTCTTACGCGAGATGGCATGGCGATCTTACGCCGCGGCTTGCGCGGGCCACCGGCGCAGAACCGCCACGGTGGACACAAGGGGCACTCGCGCGCGCCCTTTTTGCGCGGGCAACTGGCGCGACCATGTCGGGGCAGAGGGCCCCCGCTCTCTTCCGTCGCCCATGTGTGCCCCGTCTACAGACCCCCGACGTCATGCTTTTCTCATGGGATCGATCCTGGCTGTCTCGATCCCTCCCGGGTGCCAAGTTCTTGTCCCGAGTCGTTATTTGAAGGCCCCAAGGCCTGGCATTATGTCGGGCGTGTCCCCCTACGTTGGGATTTCCGACGGAAAATAAAAAATACACTCCAAATACACCAAAAAGGCAAAAAAAAAAAAAAAAACGTCCTCAGACAATGTTTGGAGTATTTTTTGATTATTTGTGGGGTATTTTTCTTTTTCGTCGAAAATCCCCCTGTAGGGGGGACGGGCCCGACTTAAGCCTGGCAGTGACGAGCGAACAACACACCCGTACCCACGGGGAGGGGACGGAGGGGGCCATGGGAACGTACTGTCGGACGGGGGTCCCCGCTCGAACAGGCGCCTCCCCAGAGGTCGGACGACCCCCGCACCCATACCCATAGCCAGCCTTCCTCCCACCGACCCCCTTATGGGTATGGGTATGTCTGTGTCTGTGTTTGTGTGTGTCTGTGCGTGTGTTGCTCGTCCGTCACTTCTCATCCTGCTTCATTTTTTTCTGGACGGTCCCCGGGGTCCGTCAGGGGCCCCCAGGGGCCGACAACAGCCGATAAAGCACCCTCCGTCGTGATTTGCCGACTGTCCCAGGGGCCCGGCAGGGCCCGCTGGATGCCGGAAACGGCGAGAAACATAGAAACTCTCCGATGTGATCTGTCCCATGGCCCCAGGAGGTCTGAAGGGCAGGGAGCCCGCAAGAGGAGGACGCACGCGCCCAACCACGTACATGAACACGCCCCACACCCCTGCGGGACGGGAAAATGACCACAGCCACTGCTTCTTGTTTGCGCCGCCTTCCAGTCGGCCGAAGAAGAAGCAATGGTTGTGGTCATTTCCACGGTGCCAAGCTTAACGAAAATGACCACAACCACTGCTTTCTTTCTGCTGGCGGGAAGGCGGCAACAAAAGAAAAACAGTGGCTGTGGTCGTTTTCACGTCCCGTACCCCCGCACCCGCGAGACCGGCCGCAAAGCACGAGCGTTCGCGCACGGACACCGCTCGAGGCCAGAATGGGCTCCTGTGTTTTGCTTCCGAACCCGGGCCTCCCCCTCCTCCCGCAGCAGAAACACACACGCAGGCAACTTCCACGGGATGGCTCCTGGGCCTCGCGGGAGGGTGGCGGTGTATATTCAACCACCACTGGGAGCCGGCGACCTCATACACCGAAGCCCTCCCTGGAGGAGGAGGAGGAGGAGGAGGAGGAGGAGGAGGAGGAGGAGGAGGAGGAGGCGTAGGAGTAGGAGTAGGAGGAGGAGGAAGAGGAGGAGGAGGAGGAGGAGAAGGAGGAGGAGGAGGAGGAGTAGGAGTAGGAGTCAAGCTAGCCAGCTCGAGCGAGTCAAGCATGGCATGCCCAGTCCCACCCGCCCTCCCACAACATAAGAAGCAAAGCTGGCACAACTGGGGGCCGAAGTCACACCGGCCAGCCGGTTTGGTACAGCTGATGCGGCCGCGATGGCGGTTGCCGACGGGAACTGGCGAGCGCGTGTTGAATGCCGAAAAACAGAAACTGTGTATTGTCTTTTGCAGATTAGAATGGGACGGATTGGATGGGCGGGCGCGGGGTGTGCGCCGCGTCCCATTCCTGCCATGCATTTTGCGACGTGGACGACAGGACGTCCATGCGACGGTGCCAATGACGGCGACGACTCTAGAAGGATTTGAGCATGCGCTCGCGGCGACGCGCGCGCATGTCGCCCGCGTGGTATTTTTTGCACAGGATTCGCGGCCTGGGTGCATGACAGAGCATCGCGAGTGCACCGCGCGATGACGTGAAATCGCTGGATTTGACAGAATTCTTAAGATTCCTATGGTTTTCCTATGATTTCAGCAAGAGAGCCCGGGCAGGAAATTTGTAGAATTGTTGTGAAAAAGCATTGGGTTTTTGATGTTTTTATGTTGAAATGCTTGCAAACACACGGTGTTCGGTAGGATTCTGACATGAACGCGCGCGTGTGCTCTTTGTGGTATTTTTTGCAATGGATTATCGCCGTGGACGACAGGACGTCCATGTCGAGAGGAAAAAATAAGAAAAATGTTAATTTTGTATTGTTTTTTACAGGTTAGGATGGGTCCACCCGGATGCGCCCCCTATCTGCCGGCCTGAGGGGGGAGTAGGAGTATATTCTAATAAGGAATAAGGATAGGAGGAGGAGGAGGAGGGAGGAGGAGGAGGAGGAGGAGGAGGAGGAGGAGGAGGAGGAAGAGGAGGAGGAGGAGGAGGGGGAGGGGGCAGCAGTCGTCGGAGGGCGTCTGTGTCTGCACTTCCGTGGCGTATCTCCCCGTCCTCGCAGCCGCTCCCGCGCTCGCCCTCGCGCTCCCGCTGCAGGGGAGCCCCCGTGGCCCGCGCCCCGCGCCGCCCTGCCCCGCAGCGCGCCCGTTGGGCGAGGGGCGGGGGGGGGGGCGCTGGGAGGAAGCCGCGCCTTGGCAGGGCGGCGGGAGAGCGGGGGCTCGAGCTGAGCAGCGTGATGCGCTCCTCGCCACCGCTCGGACGTCCATTCCGTGTTTTTTTTTTCGGTTTCGTGCGTGGTTGTTTCGCCAAATGATCAAGGATGCTCCTCGACGGTCCTCGCCGAAAGAAAAATGCACACGTCCGAGCGATGCCCAGGCTCTCGTCTCGCTCTCGTTGTCCCTGCTTCTAGCTTCGTCCCGCCCTTGGTGCAGGACGGGATCGAAACGGAAGCGGCCTGTGAGATCGCCACAACACCGTGTAGATCGAGCCATGTGTGAGAGAGGGGGGGGAGCAGGCCCAAGAGGCTCCCAAGGCGGCCCCCAAAGGGCCCCAAGACGGCCCAAGAGGCCTCCAAGACGCTCAGATTGGCCTTCAAGACAACCCTGCGACGCCCAAAGAGGGCGCCAAGACGGCCCAAAAAGGCTCCCTAGACGGCCTCCGACGGCGTCAGACGGACCAGGAACGCCGTAAGACGGCAAGGTGCGCTCGCGCCGCATCTGATGTCCTTTCCCTCCCTCCCATCCCTTCCCTTCTCATGGACGCGTGTCATGGCCAGCCTGCGAGCATAGGAGGAGGAGGTGGCGGGTGAGCAGGAGGGTGAGCAGGAAGAAAAGGATGATGACGAACAACAGCGGGGCAAGAACCGACTGCTCGGTCTGCACAACTTTGGTAACTGCGTGCTCCATCTGGTAGTGGTATGAGTGACACTCGAATGGCGTAAGGACCGATGTGGTGCTGCTTTTCTCAGGCTGGGGCATGCCCGCGGTTCGCACCCGATCAGCAATCAGGTCCAAATGGTTGCAGGCAGGAAAAGAAAGAGCAACGCAGCATATGATAATGGTAAAAAGGTTGTGCCCTTCGGAAAACATCGCAACATACCCTGCGAGATATATTGACGTTTGTACGTCGTGCACCCACCCCGTGGGCAATTGCCCGACGCCGCAATCCTATACACGCCCAGTGCCACCAATCGCCTTAGCCGACAACGCTCCAATGCCGCGGGCCTTCGGACTTAGATTGTTAATAATATACACAATGAATCGTACCACTATAACGAAACGAACGGCCAAGCTCGTAATCCAGACCACTACTGTACTACTGGCACAACCAGTATCGTCAATCAGGGTTGGGATCTAGTGGTGTTTGATTATTGATCGGGGCCCTCGCGCATTGGGGTTAAAAATCGTCCAGTTGTTGTCTGCGCATTACCTTCAACTGTACGACTTGACTGCAATACGTGGTGAGAGGTCCAACGTCACGCCCGTTCCCCATCCTGGGACGATGTGGGCCTATAGCTGCGACGTAGAACCTCAAGCCACTCGCCGAAGTAACTGTAGCACGCTACGTCGCATCCATGGAGTTTCCTTCAGCTCATATGGTTCTGGCGCAGCACAGTCATCGCCCTGAGGCGCTCAAATAGATCGTTCCTTCAGGTTGACCGTATCCCCCCTGCCCCTTTTCCACCATATCCTCCTGGATGTGCTGCGGGGCCAGCGTGCTGCGGTGCCGCGGGTGCTTCGTCCATCATTGCTGGCACTTGGGTAACTTTCAAATTACCATCCGGCTCGCCCCTTCCCAATCGTGTGTTCTTATCGAATGTTGCATCAATGTCCGCATCTCGAGCAACGTGTACCCGGAATGCGATCAGGCTTGATGAATCAGGTGCGAGAAGGGTTGCAAAAGAAATACTGCTCCACGACGAGTCGATTCATGATCCTGTCCCTGGCGATCTTGGCCTCTGGACTCTGGAACGCCAAATACCTAACCGACATGTATGTTGAGCTCGTGCTGGCGGGTTCAGCCAGTAGCTGGCATCAATCAGGCTATGTTGAAGCGACCAGGCTTATCTCTAGGCGACCAGCGGTCACGTGCTGGTGCATGTGATGGGTAAGTATACCTCTCGCTGCCTCGACAAGGCGTGGAACGTGTTCCCATTCCCTTTTCCACTCTGTTGACGTCAACATCAGACTAACATGGTGAGTGACTCTACGAAATATATTGCTCGGTCGATACATCTTTATATGTAAGTCGCGCCAGGCAGGCAAGTAATCTGACTATTCACCTGGGGAAGGATTGTGAGGGTTGACATGCTGTCCCCTCAGACTAGGTGCGCACCCGAGCACTCTCATGCCACAACAGGATGTGAGGAGATCCGCTGGCCGCCTAGGGGCCTAACAGGCTACGTGGCGGAGGCTGTCCTAGCCCATGCGCCAGCTTGCATCCCCAAAATCTGACTATAAACTTTCTCTGTTCTGTTCCACTGACGTAATGATTGATGCTCGCGCGAGGGGCGAGCCTGAAAACCACCCAGCTTCCCTTCTCAAATCACATGCTCTGACTTCCTTGGGGTGCCCTGGGACAAGAACAATGCAGCAATTTCGCGCTCCGGATGCCACAATCACTAGCAAATTACGTCACGCTCGCGCTCCTGAGGCCAAAATTCGTGGTAAAATCCGCCGACCCGGTGAGCGTGTGTGAGGGGCTTGTCTGTTCGAGTCGTCTCCGTCAGTCGTCGTCTCCGTCATCCCCTTTCCCTGCACCGTCCTCCTCAAGACTGTCAGCCAGGGACAACTCTAGCAATGTCGTAATCGAGTCGAAGTGAAGCAACTTCCCTTTGTTCCCTCCCAGGTCGGGGTGGAGGGAGGGGTCCTGGGAGGGGTGGGGGAGTGCCCTGGGGAGTGGGGAGGGGATCCCGGAGGGGAAGGAGAGGGGTCAGATGCGCACTCCGCCCTGGGGGCCCCAGGGCCTCAGAAAGTACCAAGACAGTCCAGGAGTGCTCTAAGAGGCCCCCGAGACGGTCCAAGGGGGCCTCCAATGGCCAAACTATCGGTCCCAAACGCCTTCACGCCCTCCAGACTGCCCAGGAGGCCGCCCAAACGTCCCAAGAAGTCTCCAAGAGCACTCCCGAGGAGGGCCCCACGAGGCACAATTATTAAATTCCCCTCGAATTGTTTGAAGATTTGGGCGTTCTCGCCCTTTCCGTTCCCAGCCGCTCCAAAGACGGCCCAAGAGGCCCCCAAGATCACCACAAGACGGCCCAAGAGGCCTCCAAGAGGGCCCCCTAACAGCCCAAGAGGACCCCAAGACACCCCAGTGCCTGCAAGACGTCCCAAGAGGCCCTCAAAACGGCTCAAGAGCGTGCCGGGACGGGGGACCCGAACAGACAGTTCGAGCCCTCGGCCTCGAGAGGCTCACGGGAAGCCCCACGAGGTTCCCAAGAGGCCCCATGAGGGCCAAGAGGCTCCATGAGGCCCAAGAGGCTCCTAAGAGGCCACCAAGGCTCCTAAGAGGCTCCTGCATTCCTCTCCAAAGGACCCCGAGAGCCTCCCAAGAGCCTTCCGAAGAGACCCCGAGAAGCATCCCTCTGGCTCACGTCAGCGTCGTCCTCGCCGCCGCCGCCGTTGTCGTCGTCGCCCCCTGGTCGGCGGCACCGGCCGTAAGGCCTTCGTAATAAACCTTGGCAATCACATCCAACTTGCGCTCCCGAAGATCTGCGCCCCCGTGGCCACACCACCTGCTACATTACGACGGGCTCGCTTCTGAGATCACAATCTCTTGCACAGTACACCAAAGCTGCGCTCCCCAGGCCTCAGATCCTCATAGATTACAACAGATTCGAACTACCGAGGCCGCAACCCCTCGCAAATTAGGTTGCGTACGCGCCCCCCGAAACCACTTGGTAGACTACGCCATGCTCCTGCTCCTCAAGACACAATCTCTTGCAAAAAACACCGGCTTCGCGCTCCTGAGACCACAACCTCAGTGAACTACGACAATCATGGGTCCCATAAGCCACAACTTATACTAAATTGCTATGCGCTGACGCTCCCGAAGCCAAAGTCCTTCGCAAGTTACGCCAGACTCGTGCTCCCCGAGCAACAGTCCATAGCAACTCATGTAGAGACTCGCGCTCCCGATGCCACACTCCTTGCAAATTAAAACAAGGCTCGTCCCCGAATCCACGACCCCGAGGACGCGAATCCACTCCACAGAGGCCGCCCAGAGGCGTCACCTCTCTCCAGAATATAAAAAGCACATAGGCTGGATTGGGATATGTGTTCGTGGAAGGCTGTTCGGCCTCCCCATCGTTTCCTGCGAATTTGGCTGTGGGTCCAAGCGCAAGAGAAATACGACAGAGTCGCGACCCCGAGGCCACAATACATCGTAAACGGTAACACTCCTTTGCAATCTGCGACGAACTCGCGCCCCCGAGACCGCAATCCTTTCTAAATCACAGAGCACTCGCGCTCCCGCGACAAACCCATCCTGCGAAAGCTGCCAGAAAACGCCATCCCCTCTCCGTGGCGGAAAACTGCCAAAATATTATGGATTCGGAACGTATATGTTCGGAGGTTGCTTTTCGGCTTAACCGTCGTTTCCTGAACATTCGACTCCGGGCCCGACGCCAAGAACATGCGCTACTGGCTCAGGGAGCGCGCTCCCGACAGGGCGAAATCCTTCGAATAACCACAAGAAACATGTACCATAGGTGGCCGGAATCACTCGGGACGATCTCTTAACGGTAGAGAGCATGATGAGGTGGATACAATCAAAACTGATAGCACAGATGCGCGGTAAGGATTCAAGACCCTTTGACGCCGTTATTGGAGCTTTTTCAAGCGCGGCGGGCCATTGAAAGTAGTCATGGGTGGGCCAAAGAGGCGCGGATGCAAGAGTACTCTTGGGAAGACTACCCATCCTTACCATCGGTTTCGACTGCAAGGCGTGATGGGGAAGAGGGTGGACAATTAAGTCGGGCGTGTCCCCCTACAGGGAGATTTTGGACGACAAATAAAACATACTCAAAAAATGCATCCCGCATAAACAGAAATTATCAAAAAAACGTCCCCCGACTATTTTTGACTATTTTTGAGCATTCCCCTGTAGAGGGACAGGCCCGACTTAAGAGGAGGAGCGAACGAGCGAGTGGAAACGCCGAGATGCAACGGGATCCAAGGTTCCAAACGCGGCCGATCGCTCAGTGGAGCAGGAGCGCGAAGAGAGGCAGAACGGGGAAGAGGAGAACGAGGAGGAGCAGAAGATGCCGGGAAATGCGAAACGAGGAGCGCCACCCCCTCGCCCGACCACTCCCCTTCACAAGCGCACAACACAGCAGCAACGACGACAACGACGACTACGTCGAAGACAACGGCGACGACGACGGCGCCTCAGGGTCCTTGCTTTCATACAGGAAATTCTCCGGCTTTAAGTCCTGCATCCCGCTTCTCCTCTTCCTGCTCCTCCACCGTCTCGTTCTTCCTCCGTAGTCCACTGTCATCGTCGTCCTCGCTGTCATGTTGTCGTCGTTTTCCCGTGCAGGCATAGGGCAGATCGAAAACCTCTCCAACATCGCATGCATCAGCAGCAGTATAAGGCATTCGCTGAGGTGCGGTGTCGCTGCTCTTCTGCATCCCCTCGCAACACCTCCAATCTCCGCCACGACGAGGCACCGTTGACTCCCTTTCCAAGGGTGGCCACGTGCTGGTGTTGCCTGTGCTTCCAGCGGCTCCTCCTCCCCCCATCATCCTCTCGCCATCGCGGTCTGGGCCTGGCTCGGCGATCCGTGACCGCTCTGGCCAGCCGACTCTAGCCAACAACTCTGCCATTGATGATGCGCTGTTCTATCTCTCTCTCTCTCTCTGCACTTGCGTCCCGAAGCCTCTGGGATTCCTCCTGGGGTCCCGACCCCCGATCGCGCTCCTTGCCGCGAGTGCCCCCCGAGGAGGCCCCAGCAGGACGAAAGACGGCGAGCGGGGAGGGATGAGAAGCTGAAGAGTGTGGAGGGACCTTCCCATGTCTCCGCCCTCCGCCCTGCTTCCCCACGACTCTCCAGAGGTATCAGCAGCAGGGGTACCAGCGCGGGTGGCCGCGGAGACACCTCGAGGAACCCATACAAAAGCTGCAAAAACCCACATCTGTCTGAAGGACGACCGACGACGACGGATGATGACGACGGAAGACGACATCGGCAGAACGACAAAGACGGTTCGACGACGACGACGACGGCGACGGAAACGAACAACGTGGCGACCCGACGAGGAAGATAACGAACCGCGACGATTCGAAAACGGCGAGGACAACGCCGGCGAGAACGACGACGAAGAGCACCGCGACGACGGCGACGGCGGCGGCGAGGACGACGGCGAGGGCGAGGACGACGACGACGACGACGGCGACGGCGACGACGGCGACGGCGACGGCGGCGGCACCGGCGTCCCTGTGCGCGACGCCGCTGGCGTGCAGGTAGCCCGCCGCGCGGAGCACCTGCGCCGTGGCCGCCGCGGCCTCCCGCTCGGGCAGCGCGCCCTGGGCGCCAGCGCGCGCGGGGGAGCAGGGGGCCTTCCCCTCCCCATCCTACGCCTCCTCCATCTCCTCCTCCTCCTCCTCATCCTCCTCCTCCTCATCCTCCTCCTCCTCCTTCGCCGACTTGTTTCCTCCTCCTGCTCCGTAGCATCCTTCCTCCTCCTTCGCCGACCTTTCCTCCTCCTGCTCCGTAGCATCCTGCTCCTCCTCCTCCTCCTCCTCCTCCTCCTCCTCCTCCTCCTTCTCCTGCTGCTCCTTTCGAATGACCGGAGACTTGGCCATGCGCCGATATTGAGCGAACGAGTCACTGCTGCTGCTCCTCCTCCTCCTCCTCCTCCTCCTCTTCCTCCTCCTCCTCGGCGCTCTTCGGGTGTGCCGAGGAGGGTGCCCCAGGAGGGAGAACGACGCATCGCGGCCCGAGGCATCTGTGCTCAGGGGGGGGGGGCACGGGACTCGTGGAAAGGAGGGGCGATGGCGCTGAAATCTAGATGACATGGCCCCGGCCACCATGCCCACACACTTTTGGGCGCAGCGGCGATGCGCGAAGCGACAGGGCGAAGAAAGTCGGTGCAGTCGGGGCCTTGACCTAAGGAACCCTAAATAAGGAACGAGGCCCCTTTTTTCCATAAGTTAACCTTCGCCTTCCTGTCGAAAACATAAGGAAAGCCTGAGGCAAGCTGTAAAACAATCAAGGAGCACTGAGCCCCTCCCAAACGAAAAGGGTTCCTTCTTCAAGACCCCTACTGGAGCAGCGACCGCGCGCGCGCGCGTCCAGAGCGGCCGCGCCCTCGAGGCCGCACGTTGCCGCGGCCGCGCGCAGACACACCCCGTGGCCTCCCTGCGCCCCTCTTCTAGGGGGCAAACAAACCTACCTCGCTTTTGACCGCCCTCGCTTCCAAGAGATACCAAGCCATGCCAAATTACTTGGGCGCCCGAGTTATCCGGGGTAACTCGGGCCCGGGGTAACTCGGGTTTGGATTCCCGAAAAACGAACCCGAGTTAGCCCTGACCCGAATTATCCCTGGTGAGTTGGGGCTCTGGACGCCCGAGTTATCCGGGGTAACTCGGGCCCGGGGCAACTCGGGTTTGGGTTCCCGAAAAACGAACCCGAGTTAGCCCTGACCCGAGTTACCCCTGATTATTCGGGGCTCTGAACTACGGCCTGTACTGGTCAGGCCGCTCGACGAGGAGGCGCGTGGTATGACCTGGTTTTGCCTGGAAGCGAAAGCGGGGTAGGTCATTCACGCTCTGATCTTTGACGCCCCCCGAGCTCTTCACGCGGAGGCGGCGGCGAGGGAGCACCAGGGCAAGGCCCCCGGTCGTTGATTGGAAACTGGCCATCGATCGGACGTCCATTTTCTGTGTTTTTTTCGGTTTCGTGCGTGGCTGTTTCGCCAAATTATCAAAGATGCTCCTCGATGGTCCTCGCCGAATGAAACATGCACACGTCCGAGCGATGCCAGGGAAACCTGTGGACCTCTAGGGGCCTTAGGAGGCCTCCAGGAGTCCTCGAAGGCCTCGGAGGACGGACCTCGAAACGGCGTCGCGCTGCTGTCGTCGGCAGTGCCTCCCCCGAAGACGCCGGAAACTTCTCAGAAGGCACGACGCTCAAGGTCGCCCAACGTAAGAAAAGAAGGAGGAGACGAAGGAGGAGGAGGAGGAGGAGGAGGACGAGGAGGAGGAGGAGAGGAGGAGGAGGTTGTCGACCTCCTTCCTCCTCCTCCTCCTCCTCCTCCTCCTCCTCCTCCTCCTCCTCCTCCGCGTCCTCCTCCGCGTCCTCCTCCTCCTCCTCCTCCTCCTCCTCCTCCTCCTCCTCCTCCTCCTCCTGGGGAACCCACTAGGTACCGATGCCGCTACTCCCTGGACATGTCCCCGGGTGCGTTCTGACCAGGGTTTCGGAACGAATCTGGTGGTTGCGACGAGGGCCTCCCAGGAGGCACAGAAACGCGAAAACGAGGGTATGGGTAAGGGTAGGGGTAAGGTTAAGTCGGGCATGTCCCCCTACAGGGGGACCCTGGGCGGAAAAATGCAAACTTACCCCAAACAATACGCCAAACATGCTCAACAATAGTAAAACACATCGTCCCCTGACTTTTTTGGGGCCTATTTTTGGATATTCCCCCTGTAGAGGGACACGCCCGACTGAAGGTTAGGGGTTGACAAGGCGAAAACCCACCCCCACCCCCAGTCCCGATGCCCACCCCCGAGCCCGCGATCTGGGGGGTCGGGACTGGGGGTGGGGGTGGGTGTTCTCCATTCCTGGACCCCGAAAACCCACCCCCACCCCCAGTCCCGGCCCCCCGGATCGAGGGTTCGGAAATGGGGTCGGGACTGGGGGTGGGGGTGGGTTTTCGCCTTCTCAGGGGTACCTCTTTCCTCCTCCGACCTCCTCCCCCGTCCTCCTGCCCGCGGGTCTCCCAAGGCCCGCCGCTCCAGGCCCCCCCTTGGGCCCCCCCTGCAAGGAGCCGCCGGCCCACGGCGCCGGGGCAGGGCTCGAAGCGAGCAGCGCTTTGTCGTGCCAGTCTTAAGTCGGGCCTGTCCCCCTACACGGGGATTTTTGGGGGGACACTTGCGAACCCCCTACGCCCCACGATTTCTGAGGGGGAGGGTGGGGTTCACTTCGCTCGGGAGCTCCCGAACGGACTGAACCCCACCCGCCCCCGCAGAAATCGTGGAGGGTAGGGGTAGGGTTCGCATGTGGCCCCCCAAAGAAGCCGCCGGTCCACAGCGCCGGGGCAGGGCTCGAACCAAGCAGTGTTTTGCCGGGTCAGTTTTAAGTCGGGCCTGTCCCCCTACAGAGGAACCTGGAAGAAAAATAGGAAGCAGTCAAAACATATTCCAAAATGGTAATAAAATGAAAGAATCCCCAGACGATTTGTTTTACTATTTTTGAATGCTCCTCCTGTACGAAAGACGGGCCGGACTTGATGCCAAATTTGTGCTCGTTTTCGGTCCGCTTCCGCTTTTGTTTTGTGCTCGTTTTCGTGTTGATGTCTCTATCCTTCGTGTTGCTCGGGCTCGTTCCTGTTCGTCGTCCTTCGTTCTGTCTCCGCTCTGGCTTTTGCTGGGGGTCCCAAAGCCGTGTGGTGACGGACCGTGCGGTGACCTCGGAACCCCAAGAAACCTCACCGCACGGTCTGGAGGCCCGAGTCACTGGAGACGTCCTCGGAGAACGACCCAGGTCCCCAAACCGTGCGGTGACCCCGCATCCCCACCGACTCACCACACGGTGTGTTGAGCAGGGATCGACCGTCCCGGCATTCCTATAGTCCTACCACGAAGTGTTCTTAGAACCCAAAGCTATGCTAAGAACAAAAACAAAAATCTCATAGCATCAACCCGATGTGTTAAAACAAAACAACATCAACCATGAATGTGCTCAGAACATATCGTGGAGACCACAACAGGTTTCTAGAACATTGTTTGGCAGGGCTGTAGGCGAGCCAAGACGCCTCGCCACTGCTTGAGTGTGGTCACCACCCCGTTTTCGGGGCCCCCGATCTTGCTGCAGAGGCGCATCAAAACGGACACGACCCACGGAGTCGCGAACAAAGCGCTTCGCATCTCGCCATCGCTCGGACGTCCATTCCTCGTGTATTTTCCGATCTCGTGCGTGTGTTTTTTTTTTTCGCCAGACGATCAAGGATGGTCCTCGATGGCCGTCGCCGAGAAACAATGCACACGTCCGAGCGATGCTAAGCCCACGGAGTCGCCAACACACCGCTTAGCATCTCGCCATCGCTCGGACGTCCATTCCTCGTGTATTTGTCGATCTCGTGCGTGTTTTTTCTTTTCGCCAGATGATCAAGGATGGTCCTCGACGGCCGTCGCCGAGAAAAAATGCACGCGTCCGAGCGATGCCGAGTCCACGGCGTCGCCAGCACACCGCTTGGCTCGAGCGCACGGCGCGCGGGGGACCCGCTGCCACCGACCCGCCCCGGGGGGCACTCTACCTCCTCCTCCTCCTCCTCCTCCTCCTCCTCCTCCTCCAGCCGCGGCGCGTGCCGGCGCCCGCTGCTGCGCCCCTCCCGCGGCAGGCTCCCGTGCGGCGTCGGCACGCGCAGCAGTGAAGGAGCCCTGGGACGCACAGATAAAAAACACACACAGATAGCAGGATGTCCTATATGTGTCCATATGTTTTCCTATGTTTTCTAGGTTGTCCTATGCTTTCCCATGTTCTTCCTATGTGTTTCCTATGTTTTTCCTATGTGTTCCTACGTGTTCCTATGTTTTTTTCCTATGTTGTCCCATAGCAGGATTCCCCAATGTTTTCCTATGTTTTCGTTTCCCCCCCACACTTCCCACATATTCCAACATGTTCCCACAGAACAGGGGGCCCCTGCAGGGGCCCTGAAGGGCCCAAAAGGGGACGGACCTCTTGGGCCCGAGAAAAAAACACCCCTGGCCCTCCCCCCCCCTCTTGATCACTCCCCCGTGAGTGAAGGGGAACTGGGACACACAAATAAATATACACAAATAACCAGATTCCCCATATTTTCCCATATGTTCTACGCTTCTGTCTCCCCACCCACTTCCCACAGGTTCCCATATTTTCGGGGGCATCGACGATTCATTGTGTCTGTGTGCTTCTTTCCCTCCTGAAGCAGTTGTCCCTGGCACCGCTCGGAGCTTGAACCGAAGGCGGCCCCGATCGTGTGGGCACCACCGACTGGAGGAGCGAGGAAACGCGGGGGGGGAGAGAAGGGAACGGTGCACTCCTCGGCCCCGAAGGCTCCCTGTTGGGCCCTAGGACTGGCCCCTCTTCAGGGGCCCAGAGGGCAACTGTTCTGCAGCCCTCGCTGCCCCCACATCTGTCGCACCCCAGTGACGCGAGCCCCGCATCGTGCAAGGTTGAGTCCCGTCGGGTTCTGTGGCGTTACCGTGCCCACCCGCGCTTTCGCGTCGCAGAGTTCCGCCTGGAACGCCTTGGGGTCGGGGTATCGCGCCGCATCGTCGATGCACCTGCGATGCGGCTCTATGCTCGATGTGGTGCCCTATTTTCACCACGCCGACATCGCCGATGCGTCGGCCATGCCGCGCGGTCCTCCGACCCCACCTGAGAGGCACCCCATCAGAGAGGCACCCACACCTGTACTTCTTCGGGGGGTGCGGTCGCCTCCCTCCCTCCGCCCGTCTGGCTCCATCTGCCCCCTCCGCTCCCCCCCTTCACGAGGCAGCTCCTGGGAGGTCGAATGTTTTTAGCATGGGCGCTGGTATGTCCGCGGTCGAAAACGGGCCACGCTCGGCCAACTCTGGTGGGTTTCGTTTCAGCAGTCCCGCTTGATCTGGCTCAGTCGGGCTCGATCTTGGCATTCCTCCCGCTGGCGCGCCAACGCCGCACGAACCTACCGTGCTCGGGCGCTGCCTTCCAGGAGCCCCCACACCCAAGCGCAGCGAACCCGCGAAGGGCGTACTTTTCGCACTGGTTGCGGGCCTAATGGATCGATCTGGCTCAAGCAAGCCCGCCTGAAGATCGGGTTGGGAGCTCCAGTCGTGATTTGGTCCACGACGTTGGGTGTCAGGGAAGGTCGAACTATGCCCGTCCTCGTCGTCGTCGTCGTCGTCATGCTCCTCCTTGTCCTCCTCCTGTTTATCACCCTCAACCTCCTCCCCCTGTGCTCTTGCTACTGCTCCTCCTCATGAACTCTCTCTCTCTCTCTCTCTCCCTCTCTCTCCCACTCTGCCCCCCTCCCCCTTTTGCTCCGTCGACGACGGCGGCAATGATGACGACATCACGACAACGCTGGAGAGACAACATCCGATCCGATAGGTAGCCCCATCGAAAATCTATAACACCTTTGGCTCTCAACTGTGACTGTGCCCTCCCTGGGGACCTGCCGGGCCACCCGGAAAAACAGCTCGCCGCCGGACAGGTACTCCATGACCAGGTGGACCTAAAGGGTAGGGCGAGAATGGGGAGCTATGCATTCGATCGGGGAACAAAGTCTGCTAGCCGCTGGCTTCGATGTTACACTAGCGCTCAGAGCAGCAGATAATAATGAAACTGCAGATGCTGCTGATGATGATAGCAGCGATGATCATGATGATGATTTGTTTGATCATGGTGACGATGTATACATGTGCTTCTACTTGCGCTAAACCCCCTCTCACCTGCACTCTTCATCCCAAAAATGCTGCCCTAGTATCTCCTGACGCACTCACTATATCAATCGATAGCATGCACTAACAAACCACTACTACTGCGCAGCGGAAACATATTCCGGGAACGCACCGTGATGCAGAACCGATCGCAATGCTGAGGAAGATATGGGCCGCCTCCCCGTTCTCCTGCTCCCGATGTGCATTGACGCGCGATGCCGGGTCTGACCTGCTCAGTCCTCGCCTATGGTGCAGCGATTCTGGCCAGGCCCATCCGGGGCTATCCAAGACCGACCAGCCAGAACTGGGGAAGCTGTTCCTTCTTGTACCCGCCTGGGGGGACCCGTCGTATCGACATCCCCTCAAGAGGGGTGTCGAAGCCAGCGGGTCCCCAGGAGGACCAGGACCGCGGCTCCCCCAGTCGTGGCTTGCCTGCAGGACTGGCCTGACCTAGAAGGTCAGCTGGAGGCCCCCTGCCCAGACATCCACTCACACCCGAGGCACACCCCGAAGAGCCCCGAAGCTGGCGCCACCCGACCCCGTGGGCGCCGCGGCAGTCGCCGCCCGACGCCGTCGCCGTTATCGTCGTCGTCGTCGCCGCCGCAGCCGCAGCCGCCGTCGCCGTCGCCGTCGTCGTCGTCGTCGCCGCCGCCGCCGCCGCCGTCGTCGTCGTCGTCGTCGTCGTCGTGGTGGTGGTGGCGGTGGTGGTGGTGGTGGTAGTGGTGGTGGTGGTGGTCGTCGTCGTCGTCCGCCCTCCCTGGCGAGGGATCCCCCGAGGCTAAACTGAGGCCGCCGGCCTTGCCGTCCTGCTCGAAATACACGTCCCACAACCGCACCTCGCCAAGCGCTCTCGACTCTCGACAGGTCTGGGGCAGAGACGTCGCTCTCAGGCCCTAGGCAGGAGCAAGGAAAACCGACACCATCACCACCAGGGACCACCAGCGGGGGGAGCCAGGGGCGGGGGTCCCCCTGGTGATGTGCCCACCCCCCTCTCTCTCGAGACAGTCCCTATTAACAGCTCGGGGAGGCATCGCGGACCTCCTCGCTGGAGGTGGTGGTGGTATCGCACTTTCTTCCTCCGGCAAAGGTCGACGGGGGGCTCAGGGGAAGGCAGAAGGGGGTGGGCCCTCTCACGTGGCTCAGAAGTCCTCCAGCTCTCTCTCTCTCTCTCTCTGACAGGCTTTCCGAGCCTTCTCCGATGCCTGGCCGCCCTCTGAGAAGGCAAGCCCCCTCTCAACTGCCCCCCCTCGGCGCGCCGCCGAGAAGGGAGGAGGGGCGCGGCACAGCATCTGTTTTTGTCGCGCCGAGAGCTCACTGCGCCCGCACAAGATGAGCATGGGGATGATGGGGCAACGATGAGAGGGGGGGGGGACTGGCATGGGGGGGGGGGAACATCGACCTGCAACTCGGCGATACGTCGCTCATAAATCGGCGAGTGGCCCCCATTGCATATCCGCACAATCGTGAGCAGGTTTGGGCTGTCGGCTACCGGGCGCCTGTCGGCGATGCATGGGCGACTGGGGGTCGATGCATCCCCCCCGAGCCTATCCCCCTTAGCGTTACCCCTGAGGGGAGGCGGGAAGGCAAAGCCCAATGCACTCGATTTTAAAGGCGACCACATGCGAACCCGAGCTAAAACAAAAGCATAACCAAAACGAAATCGGACCAACATAAATCGGACATCTCTGATAATGAGCGGGTTTGGAAGATGTCTCAGGCGCTGCGGCCGTTTCAGAGCGTTTCGGAACGCTCTGAGAGCGTTCTGGAAGGCTCTGGAACGGATAAATCTCCATTCTAGGCCCGTCCAGCCACCCCTGCTGCAGATCAGATTTCGGAGAAACTGGCTGGGATGATTCATGATTTGAAGGACGTCTGCAGCCGAATGCAACCCAGCTTGAATGTCCGATACCGCAGCGTCGAGTGCACCCGCAGAGAGAGGATTCGCTGAAAATCCCAAATTTCCTCCCCCTTCCCGTCCGCTCGCCTGGCCGCGCTGGTCGCGCGGACAGCGCTCCCCCCATCGCCAGGACAGCGCTGGCTGCAGTGCGAGATGACAGCTGGCGCGCCTGGAACTGCGCCCGAAGAGCGGGGTGACGGGCGTCCAACGCCGACCCAAAATCGGCGACTACAATGGGTGCGGTTTGCGAAGCTCCCGTCTTATCTGCCCCTCCCGCCCCGGGGAAACGGATGACACTGTCACTCAATGGGACCGAGTCACATGACACTGTCGCTCCTTCTAGCACAGTGGAGCACACATCGACGATGACAGTGTCGCTCGAAACGACGACAAGTATGACATTGTCTCTCACAAAGGCCCCGGAAAGGCCGCCACAAAGCAACTCGCAAACCGCACCCTGGCGTAACCGCACCGATTGTAGTCGCCGACAAAAGAGAGGAGCCGCGAAGAACTCCGCAAAAGGACTTCCACGTGCTGCCTCTTGCCTCCTGCTCGCCGCTCGGGGGGAGGGCGGCGGGCGGCGGACCACGTGCGGGTGATCCAGCGACAGCATGATCCGCACCTCGGACTCCGCGCGGCGCCGGGCCTCGTGTGAGCTGCCGGCGTGCAGGGTCTTCACCTTTCGCCGAGGGGGGGGGCAGAGGGGAGAGGGAGAGGGGCCTTCCTGCGCCACCTCCTCCTCCACCTCCTCCTTCTCCGCCTCCTCCTCCTCCTCTTCCTCCTCGGGAGTGATTATAGACAGAGCAGCACGGGGAAGGGTCTAGGAATCAGGAGCTGCCCTCCCATGTTTTGTCATACCTTTTGCGCCACCAGAGGTCGCACCGGCGCAGCCCATGGCTGAGCTCTCCTGGAACTTCTGGCCAAGAAGCTGCCCTGGAGAGGCCTGGGTGGGAGGGCGGAAGGGCAAGGCTCCTGGAGAGGGGGGCAGGGTGAGAGGGATGAAGGCGGGACGAGAGGGGGGGGGAAAGAGAACAGGGGGGAAGGAAGAGGTGATGGCAAAAAGGGAGGGTCGGAAACGGGCGGGAGTGGCAGCGTGGACAGAGCGCGCTGAGGGGACCCAGGCACAGGGTGGGGAGGTAACCCCTACCCCGTTCCCCTTGGGCGCCCTCGTTCCGAAGCCCCCCTCCTCCCCAGGAAGTGGGGCCTCGGTCCTCACAAAGAGTGGGAGGGGCGGGCAAAATTCCGAAAGCCCCCCACTTCCCTGTTGGAAGGTGCAACCCTGGCCCTGGCTTACCCCCGCTTCAGCTTCAAAAGCCCCCCTTTTGCATTGGCCCCCCCCCGCTTCAGGACGGGGGACAAGGGGAAGGACTTCCGAAGCCTCCCCATGCAGCTTGAAGCTGGGGTCTCCATCTGAGTCTTCTGGGTCCCACCGCGGCGCGTAGATCGGATGGGGTCGGGTGGCATGGTCGTGGATCGCGGGCTTGTTGGGCGGTGTGAGGAGGGGGGCAGACGGACGAAAACTGATGATGAGTTTCGCCGTTTTAACCCCCATGGCCCTCGTCCCCACGGTCAGAGCGCGAAATCCTGGTCAGAGCGCGCCCCAGGATAGGCTTGGGGGTCGGTTTCGAAACGGACGGGGCGGGGTGAACAGGGCAGAAGGTCACGTGAACATTTACGAAGTTGGGGGGGGGCTTGGAGAGGGCTCAGATGCAATCACGAATCCAGGACTCCTGAAAACTGACTCGCACAGCACCAGAACCACCCTTCCCTCATTCTCGGGAGGAAGAGTGGAAATGAAAGGGACGGCGGCAGCTGAGGAGCAACGACGACGACGCCGCCGACGACGACGACGGCCGCGGCGAGGCGACGGTCGCCGCGCACGCCCTGCCACCCGCCCGGCTGGTGGCGAGCAGGACCGCGTTCTTGTTGCTGCCCCGGCCGAGGACCTGCACCCGCGGCTGCGCCGAGGGCGAGGGCACCCGGCAGGCGAGCGAGGGCGTGCGATGAGAGTGAAGGGGGGGCCTTGGGACACACACATAAAGACAACCAGATAACAGGATCCCCCTATATTTTCACATATTTTCTGCGCTTTTGCCTTCCCCCCCCACTTCCCATATTTTCCAATCTTTTGTCTCCCTCCCCCCACTTCCCATATTCTCCAATCTTTTCTGGGAAATCGACGATTCATTATGTCTGTGTGTTGTTCCCCTCCCGAGAGAGGGCGCGCGGAGACAGCGGCAGGCCCCCCCGGGCACGGCGCGGCGCGGAGAGGGCCCGCGGGGGCGGCGCGGCGGCGGCAGGCGCCGCCTGCGCGCGGTGCAGTGCCCGCGACTTGCCGTCGCTCGGACGGCCATTTCCCGTGCGTTTTCCGGTTGCGTGCGTGGACAGAAAAAATCAAAACATCGTCCCCAGACTATTTTTGACTATTTTGGACTGTTCCTCCTGTAGAGGGACAGGCCCGACGTAAACCCGGTGGGAATGCACGGTGCGGCCGTGGGCGTCGCACTCGTGCCCGCGCTCCTGGCTCCGGCACCCCAGTGGCCGTCTCTGCCCCAAAAGCGGGGCCGCGAACCAGCCAGAGAGGGTGGCAGGAGGGGCGGGTGAGAGGCGGAGGAGGACTTGCCATCGCTCGGACGTCCATTTCCCGTGCGTGTTCCGGTTTCGCACGTGGTTTCTTTTGCTCGATGGTCCAGGATGGTCCTCGATGGTTCTCCCCGAGACAAAAAATGCACACGTCCGAGCAGTGCCAAGGCGAGGGCACGCGGCACGGCGCGGCGGCGGAGGCGATCGGGACGACGCGGGCGGTGCGACTTCGGCGGGCGCTGCGCGGAACTGTTTCGGGCGCGGCCTGGCCGATCCCTAGCAGACCATCCCCTTCCGTGACGTCGCCTGCGCCGCACACAGACGCCCTGGGGCGAGGCGAGGGGGGCGTCACGGAAGGGGGAAGTCTGCTAGAGGTCGGTTTGGCCGCCCCTGACTGTTGGGCGCAGGGGAGCGGATCGGGGAGACTCAAAACTCGGGCTCGGGGCACTCGGGTCGGCCTGACGGGGCCGTCATGAAAATGACGAAATCCAATATGAAATTTGACGCGAACTCCCGCTGCAAGCATCCCACGATAACTGGACCGTCAATCTCCAGGATGCGCCCGTCAAAATGCGTCGGCAAGCCCGAGTTCTGGCGCACTCGAGTCTCACGTTTCTCCGATCGGAGGGCGCTTCGAGGTGCTGCTGCCAATGCTGATGCGCTACTGGTTTGGCCCTCGGCGCTCGTCGTGCACAATGCTTCCGGAACATAGCGTTTCAGACCTGAGGGTAGCCCCCTCAGGGAAAGCTTGCACTTGCAAATCGTATACTGTACCAGCTGTTGGAAACAACATTGCTTCTTATGTGTTTAAGGGGGGGCGGAATGCCCAACAGTCAGTGGAATCTTGTTGCTAGCGAGAGTATAACGAGCATGCTAGTAGAGTTACCTGGGAAACAAGCGTCATACTTCTATCCTCGTTGCATCCGTAGCCCGTTTGACTCAAGAAGCGCGCGCGTGCGCACACGATGCATAACATTAACCATCTCGCAACAACAGTGGGATTGCTGAACCGCCCGCTGCGTTTGTCGGGGGCGCTTCCTGGTATAACCACGGAGCGGGCATTGACTGAGTAGAGGTTTTCACTACCAACTTTTCTAATGACTGTAGGTCTGCGGCGAGGGCTGGGGACGTCCTCCCACTCCTCCTCCTCCGCCTGCTCCTCCAGCGGAGGGGGGTGGGACGAGGACGACGAGGATCTGCGACGAGGCTTTGGCCCCTCTTCCCACTTCTCCTCCTCCTCCTCCTCCTCCTCCTCCTCCTCCTCCTCCTCACTCTCCTCCTCCTCCTTTATGGGGGGGCAGTGGCGAAGAGGGAAGGTCTGGCAGGAGCTTGAGCCGAGTAGTCTCGCAGAAGGGTTTTGAAAATGGAGGGAAGAGGAGGGGCATGGAGGCGCGAGGAGGGCGAAGCGCAGACGGCCAGACGAGGCGATAGGGGGAGGGGAGCGGAAATGAGGGAGGCAGGGAAGGAGGGCTGTGCAGGGCAAGGGTGTGGAAAAAAAAAGGGCGGGAGGACGATTTCAGGGGAAGGTCGGGTCCGGCGAAAGGGGGGGATAGCAAGGGGGGGGGGTTTGAGAATCAGCTCACGTAGCTGATTTTCCCGGCGCCTCCTGGCGCCGGGGGCGACAATGTATCGAGGAATGGGCCCCTCGGTGGGGGCGAAACCAGCTGCATGCAGCAAATTCCGTAACCCCCCCTTTCCCAATCCCCCCCTTTCGTCCGGCCCGATTAACTCTGGCACGCTCCTCACGCATTTCGTGCCTCGTGAACTACCAGAGGCGCCCAGCGGCCCGGCAAGGCGGTTCAGTGGAGCATCCTTTCGGCGCACCGCTCACGCACCTCGCGCCCCCCCGTGCACCCCGAGTCGTCCTGGCTCCTCAAGGCTGCTCAGGAAACTTCCATGCCCCCCTCCTGGCAGGGCGGGCGGGCCTTGCTGTGCACCTCGTAGTCGCCGTGCAGGCTGCGCCCAGAGCCGGACGAGTGGCTCCGCGAGCCCTGCGCCGCCGCGCCGCGCGCCGCCGCCCTCGCCGCCCCCGCTGCGCCCGCCGGGCGGGCTCGCCCACCTGCCTGGCGGCACGTCGGGCTGTGCCGCGGACCCCAGACCAGGCAAGTCGGGCTCCCTGCCCCGCTCCCTCCTTCTCGAAGGGGCCCCAGGACACACAAACGAATACACACACAAATGAAACGATTTCCCTATCTTTTCCCATGTTTTCTGGGTTTTTTTGTCCTCCCCCCCACTGCCCATATTTTTTCCAATATTTTCTGGGAAATCGCCGATTAATTGTGTCTGCGTGTTTCTTTCCCTCCTGACTTCAGCCCCTTGCCCCCCTGCCCCGTCCTCCCAGCGCCTCCCCCCTCCTCGTCCGTCCCCTCACCCCACGACGGCAGGAGCAGGGACGGCGACGACGACGGCGAAGGCAAAGACGACCACGGCCACGCAAACATCTGCGACAATTCCGTGGAGGATCGGATTGACGGAAATGGCAAAGACGACCCAGCGAGGACGACAAGACGACCACTCAAGATGACGACGACACATACCCAGGCCACGAGCGTCACTGCTGCGCCAGCAGCAACGACCACCGAGACGACGGCGCCGAACGTGACTCAAGGCGACGAACGCACGGCGACGGCGACGACACCGACCACGGTTTTCCCCCGGGGCCGTAGGCGACCCGAGGAGGAGGAGGAGGAGGAGGAGGAGGGGAGGAGGAGGAGGAGGAGGAGGAGGAGGAGGAGGAGGAGGAGGCGACGAGAACGACGACGGCACCGTCCAGGAGGACGATGCCGACGCCGCCGCCGCCGGCTGCGTCGCTCTCCGCGCGGCGGGGGCGGCCCGCCGGGCCTGCCGCGCCTGCGCCCGGCCCTCGGGCCACGCGCCCTCGGAGACGTCCCACGGCCGCGGCGCGGCGGAGGACGCGCTGTGGCCCATCGGGAGGCCGGAGGGGGGCGGGGAGGGGCGGCGGCGGAGCTCTCTGCCTGGGTAGTCGAAGCCAATCTGGCGCCAATCTGGCAGGCCCAATCTGGCAAACAGGGGCCATCTGGCGAGGGAGCCAACGCGAATCCAGTCTGGCGAACAGCCCCAAATCCTCCAATTTGGCCAGGCCAGATGGGCCCTTGGGGCCCAGTCCAATCTGCCAGTCTGGCCTTCGACTACCCAATCTGCGGCCACGGCACGGCAAGTTCGCGTCCCGACGGCCCCGGCGTGGGCTTCCGTGACGGCGCGGGTTGTTGAGCCCGGCACGCTCGGCGGTGTTTCGATCGCCCGATCGTTCCGTGCTGGTCGGCTCTGAGCCACGGGTGGCGTTCGACCCTGCACGCCCGCGGCGACGTCGCCGCCGAGTGGACTGCCAGGGAGCTGGCCTGCCAGACAAGCTGGCAAGTGCTCGAGTGCCTCGGGTGCAGGGTAGCAGGCCTAACCAGGCTAACCCAGCTCGGAGAGATCCCCGGGGCCAGGCCGCACCGCAACACTTCGGGAGGGGATGGATGGATGGATGCGGGGCATGCGCGTTTCAGCCGCATCGGTCTTCGTGGGCACTAAGAGCTGCTGGCCTGGGCACGGAATGCCCCCTGCGCGCGCTTTGACAGAAAGGGGCGGGGGGCTAGAATCCCACCAACCCTCTGGGCGGAAATGGCATCACATGTCCCCTCGTCTCTGCTCCAAACCTCTTCCTTCACATGTCCAGGATCTGGGGAACCGATGCAGCACATTGCCCTTCGGGCTCAAGATGGCCTCCAGAGGACTCCATACGCGTCAAGATGATGGCCTCCTCGATGCCTCAAGACTCGGCGGTGGACAAAACTCCCTTTAATAAACCACCCCTTAGTGAAAACGGCCTGGGACCGAAACTGACGGACCTGGACTCGCAAAAATGACGGTCGCGACGCCCTCTCGCGAACCGCTAACGGTCGATTCATTATTCGACGTGTCAGGGTAGGAGGTCTATCAACCTCCGAACGACATCCCAAGACGATTCGTAGCAGCCTCCGCCATACCTCCGAGATGACCAAAAAGAAAACCACAAGGTCGGCTCAGAGTGACCTCCGACGCCCGAGAAAGAACCACCCAAGAGGCCCCAATCGTTCTAACACCCAGTGTTAATTCGGGCGTGTCCTCCTACAGGGGGACTTTGGACGAAAAATTAAAAATAGTCAACAAATACCCCGAATGGACAAACAAATTAAAAAAAGTCGTCCCCAGACTATTTTTGATTATTTTGGACTGTTCCTCCTGTAGAGGGACAGGCCCGACGTAAACCCAATGGGAATGAACGGTGCGGCCGTGGGTTTGGACGCCCGACATGGGTACGGAAAAAATTGGTAATATGCCCAACAACAAATGTTGTCCCAAACCGACAGCGGCCGCTGTTAGGCAGGCGGCCTTCCGTCTCAAACGGACACAGGCCGCGGCGGCGCGGACAACGGCGCGGACAGCGGCGCGGACAAAATGAACAGGATCCGCTGTTGTGCAGTGTACCCATTCCTTCCGTACCCATTTCGGGCGTCCAGAGTGGGTGTCGCACTCGTGCTCGCGCGCCTGGCTCCCGCACCCCGGTGGCCGTCTCTGCCCTACAAAAGCAGGGCCGCGAATCTGACAGGGGAGGGTGGCAGGAGGGGCGGGTGAGAGGCGGAGGAGGAGGGAAGCGGCAGGTCTTCCCTCCCTCCGCTTTGGCGGCCAGCACCGCACGGGCCTGCCGCCTGATTCGCACCAGTTTGTTCACCAGTGAGAGCAGTTAGCGGCGCGCAAAGGGGGGGTAGGAGGAGGGGGGACAGCTTCTTAGAAGCACCCCTGCTTCTTAGAAGGCCCCGGCCTTACGTCTATAGAGAAGGCCAGCGCCTTCTAAGAAGCAGGGGTGCTTCTAAGAAGCCTTCCCCCCTCCTCCTACCCCCCTCTGCGCGTGGCTGAAGGGGAGAAGGCGAAGGAGGGATGCAGCGAGGGTGAAGGTGCTCAGTGGCTGCGCAGGTGGGGCGTGGTGTGCGGGGGAGGGAGCGCTCGAGTCCTCGGATGCCGCGGCGGCACGAGGGGGAGGGAGGGAGGAGGGAAGGAGGGAGGGAGAGAGGAGGGGAGAAGGGGAGGAGGGAGGGAGGGATGAGGGGAGGAGGGAGGAGGGGAGGGAGGGAGGGAGGGGGGGGGTCAAGGGGGTGAGGGAGGAGGGGAGGAGGGAGGGAGAGAGGATGGGCGAGGGGAACATTGAAGGGGCCCTGGGACACACAAGTAAATGCACAAACAAATAACAGGCGTCCCCATATTTCCCCATCTTTTCTTGGTCTCTTTGTCTTCCCCCCCGCTTCCCATATTGTCTAACATTTCTTGGGAATCGACGATTAGTTGTGTCTGTGTTTTTTTCCCCTCCTGGAAAATCAGAGGCCTCCCAAGTGGGGTCCGGTTAGATGTTGGCGGGGCGCGCAAGTGGGTAGGGGAGGGGGGAAAGCTTCTCAGGAGGAGGGTGCCCCTTAGAAGGCGCCGGTCGCCGTTCCAAGGGGCGTCCTAGAAGCACCCCAACAGCTTCTTGGAAACACGAGACGGCGTGTTAGAAACAGGAGCAGTTTCTCAGACGCAAGCCGCCCGCTTCTTCGAAGCACGCTAGGAACTGCTTCTGAGAAGCAACCACCAGCTTCTTCGGGAGCGGCCAAGAGGGGGGTGTCCAAGAGGGGGGGGTGCACATCATGACCGTCGGCATGTGCGCGGCCCAGCGGGGGGGCCAGGGACGTAATGAAATGAGAAGGGGCGCCGTAAAATCTGGGGAAATATCGTGGCCCCCGCCATGACATGATATCCCCCCCTAGTCATCACCCCCCTCTTTCCCGCCCCCGACTTCTGGGAAGGGGCCCCGCGCCTTCTGAGAAGAGGTGTGCTCCTCAGAAGTCTTCCCCCCTCCCGCCGCCCCCCTGCGCGTGTGGCCGAAGATGGGGTCGGAGGAGCGCGCCGCGTCGGCGATGCATCTGCGAAGACACGCGAAGCAAAATATGACCCCCACGGAGCCGCACCTCCGATGCATCGGCGATGCAGAACGGCCTTCGCCTCCCTCCTCCCTCCTCCCTCCTCCCTCCTCCTCCTCCTTCCTCCCTCCTCCTCCTCCTTCCTCCCTCCTCCTCCTCCTCCTCCTCCTCCGACCCCACCCACCCATTTGCTCGAGCCCCATCTGGGAAGCCTGGGAGGACGGAGGGAGGGAGCGATGAGGACAGAGGTGCGTCGCGAGGCTCGGGATGCCAGAGTGAGGAACGGGGGGAGGGAAGATGGAGGTAGCACGAAACCAGAACAGGGGTAACATCGGGTGTGGATAAATGGGGGATCTCTGAGATCTGGCGCCTCTGGAGGATGTCTCGGGCGCCGCGGCCTTCTCAGAGCCGGCACATCTCAGAAATTCTCGTACTAGCCCTGCCCTTTCCTCCCCCAGACCCAGACCCCCGACGTCGTGATTTTGTTCACAACGTCGACCTCAGAGGTCTGGATCCTCTCCCCGGGACCCGTTTCTCGTCCTGAGTCGTTGACTCACGGTCCCGAGGCCCAATAAGGGCCCCTGGAGGCCGAAAAGGGCGACCAATCTCCCGTCGTGATTTCCTCACAACGCGAGGGGTTCTGGGGAGAATTTGAGCAGGGACCGACCGTACCGGCATCCCTATAGTCCTACCACGAAATGTTCTCAGAACCCACAATTGTTCCAAAAGCAAAGACAATGTTCTTAGACCATAAAACCGATGTGTGAAACCAGGACAGTCGCAGCCAGAAATGTCCTAAGAACCTTTCGTGCAGACCACAAACATTTATTATAACACCGTTTGATAGGCCTATAGGCGAGCCAGGACGCTTCGCCACGAGGACGGAGAGGGCCCAGAGGAAGGGCCGCTGGGGGCGCGGGAGAGCGCACTGCCGGGGGGGCCTAGGAGAGCGGCGGAGAGGACCAATAAAGGGCCCCTGGAGGCCGAAGAGGGCGACACACCTCCCGTCGTGGTTTTCTCACGACGCGAGGGGGTCCGGGGAGAATGGGGGGAGGGAACGAGGAGGACGGAGATTTGGACGCCCGAAATGGGCACGGAAAAAATGGGTACAATGCCCAACAACAATTGTTGTCCCAAACCAAGAGCGGCCGCTGTTGGGCAGGCGGCCTTCCGTCTCGAATGGACACGGGCCGGGCCGCGGAGGCGTGGACAGCGAACCCCGTTCAGAATGAACAGGAACTGCTGTCGGGCATTGTGCCCATTCTTTCTGTACCCATTTCGTTCGTGCCGAGATGGGGGGAAGGGAGCGAGGAGGCCGGAGATAGGGGAACAAAAAGTGGCATAAACATAAAAACTCGGAGGTCCGCGCGGATTCCTCGGATCGGCGCTGGGGCCCCCCATGCGGCGCCTCCGGCGCCGCCCCTGGCGCGCTCCGCGCGCCAGGGAGGGGGGGTCCAGCGCCGATCCGAGAAATCCGCGCGGACCTCAGAGTTTTTATGCTTGTGCCACGTGTTGTTCCCCCAGAGGAGGCCGGAGAGGGCCCGGAGGAAGGGCCCCTGGGGGCGCGGGAGAGCGCGCTGCCGGGGGGGGGGGGGGGCCGAGGAGAGCGGCGGCGAGGCGCCCGCCAGCGGCCCTTTTGGGGCCAGTGGGAGCCGAGACGGCTCGCGGCGCGCGGCGGCCTCGCGTCTGGCCTTCCGCCACGGGGGCCACGGGCTTCGCTCCTCCCTGCTCGGCTCGGAGCCCGGGGGGTGCCGCAGAGGACTGCCGACCAGACCACCCCAGCCCAACCCGAAGGCCCGAAGCTGACCCGGATTTCGAGTTTTTTTTTTGGGGGGGGAGGGTTCCTCGTGTTTTTGCGATGCCCCCCGACCCCCCCCCCCTCCCTGGAAATGGAGGGCAGATTGAGGCCTTCGGGTTGGGTTGGGGTGGTTTGGTGAGTGGTAAGAAGAGGCTTAACTTAAATCGGGCGTGTCCCCCATCCAGGGGGATCTTCGACGAAAAATAAAAAACTCAAGACATACTCCAAGGTGGTAACAAATGCTCCAAAAATAGTCCCCAGGGAATTTTTTGACTACTTTTGAATA